TCATGTTGAGACCGGGGGTCTGCCGTGATCTGAGGACGACGGCGCTGATGAAGCCAGTCGTCTGAAGATGAAGGGGGCGGAGCCGGTCCTATGATGAGGACGGCGAAGCCATACCTATAATGAAGGACGACGTTGAGCGCTCGTCTGATCCGCATATATGATCTTGCTTCATCCATAATGCTTAGTATTTGCCTGATATGTACTTAGCCAAATATGTGGCTTGATTTGTGGGGATTTCATTTTTATTGCTCGAGGCCGGCGAGTGCTCGGTCCTTGGCTTCCCTCTTTTGATTTGTGGGGATTTCGCTCGAGGTCGGCGAGTGCGCGGTCCTCGGCTGTCCCTCTTTTAATTTGTGGGGATTTCGCTCGAGGCCGACGAGTGCGCGGTCCTCGGTTGTCCCTCTTTTCATTTGTGGGGATTTCGCTTGAGGCTGGCGAGTGCACGGTCCTCGGTTGTCTCTCTTTTATTTCTTCCTCTACTGCTATGAGTGAGGAGTGGGGGTCCTTCTTTCAGGCTCGACCGAGGGGGTTGTTATTCCCTCGGCCGATAGGGAGTCCAGTAGGGTAACTGTCCGGCCTCTGGCGCTGGCGCGTCCCTAGACCTTGGGGGGTCTCGTCGTCTATTTATGGCGTGGGCTAGGCTTTTGGTCGGTTACCGACGGCTACCGTTTCCCAACCCCAAGTGTGGGGATTTTGTCACCTCGGCCATTCTTTCAGGCCTGTCGTAATGCGATTTAGCGCGAAGACGACGTAGTGAGCTTCCCATTTCAAGACGTGGACCGTTTGCGGGGCCCTCGTCCTGGGACATCGTCGGCCATGCTTAAGCGTTTCGCTCGAAGGGGCCGGGACGATGTGCTGTTTTGTGTGGCGTCGTCGGCCAAACCTGAGTGTTTCGCTCGAAAGGGCCGAAGCGACGTGCTTTGTTGTGTGGCATCCTTTACTTAAACTTTACAAGAAATAAGCAGAACACAATAGGTGCGTTGTTTATGGCAACGGCTTTTATTAGGGTCAGTGGCTCGAGGCCGAGGGGGGTAACCTTCTGAACAACTCGTACAAGAGTTAGCTTCCCAATGAGTTTCTGACCTTGGGGTGGGGGCTCTGCCGTCTGCACCCTCTTCGGATTGCTGGTAGAACTTCGCCGAGATGTAGGGCCATTCGTATTTTGAGGGATAAGTCGTCTGTCGGCTTGCTGGTAGAACTTCACCATGGAGGTCCAGACGTCGGCCGTGCGTCCCTTCGAGGAAGGATGCAGTCAGCGGATGTGACGCTTCTTCAGTTGGGGCTCCTTGAAGTCCTCTTCATCGCTGAGCTTCCCAATTTCATGCTTCTTCATTGAGGTGTCCCCTTCCTGATTGCCGGTGGAGTTCCTTGGGGTAATTTTGACAAATTGGTGGAGTTCACCCCGTTGAATCAAGCGCTCAATGGCTTTCTTCAGCGCGACGCAGTCGTCTGTATTGTGGGAGGTGTTCTTGTGGTAACGACAATAAGTGCCACCCTGGTGGATGGAATAGACTTCCGTGGCCGACCAGGGATCTTTAGGGATGAGACCTTGCTCCTCCGCATAGTCGAAGATGGTATCCACCGAGTGCGTGAGCGTAGACCTTGGGACGTCCGTCCTCGGCTTCCATGGGCGCTCCTTCCGGTTTTGGCGGGCATGGCCCCCGACCGAGGATGCGTTTGGAGCCGACGCCTCGTCTGACCTCTTTGATGGTTGGCCTACATCCTTCTTGCGGGAGTGGAGCTCATCGGCGTCAGCGTACAAGCTCCCTCGTTGGAGTGCCTTGGTGTATGACCTCGGCGGGTCAGTGATGAGGCTCCTCGCATAGGGGCTGCTGCGGAGAACGCCTTGGAAGAGGACGAGGAGGGTGCGCTCATCGGCACCTTCGACCTCGTCTGTCTCCTTCGTCCATCGATCGATGAAAGACCGAAGTGATTCATCGTGTTGCTGCTTGATGGAGAGAAGGTGGGAGAAATGTTTTCTCACGCGCTTCCTTCCGGCGAAGTGGGTGAGGAAGCGTTGGGCAAGATCCTGCCACGAATCTATGCTTCCTTCGGGGAGCGCGTTGAACCACCCGTACGCTGGCCCTTCAAGAGTGGAAAGGAACAAATGACAGAGGTATTCATCTGATGCGTTCACCATCAGCATGTTGTTTTGATAGCGGCTGAAGTGCTCCTGAGGGTCAGAGCGGACGTCATAGGGCTTGATGGCGTTCCCTCGGTACTTCTCGGGTATTGGGGCCGAGAGCACCCTCGTGGTGAAGGGAGTTTTTGTTCTGATTTGGATGATGGGGTCACCACGTCTGTCAGCCAGCTCCCTCTCCAGGGCGCTGACTTTAAGCATGAGCGCGTGGTAACCTGGACCCTTGGATGAGTTGGCCGTAGGGATGGTGGCCGATTGTCTAGCCTCCATTTGGGCCAGTCTCCTTTCGAGCTGGGCGATGATCTCGTCACGAGGGTCCTTGGCGGCCGTAGTGGCGCCTTGCTGGTTGCGCACGCGAGCTTCTTGAGTCGTGTTGATTCGATGACGCGCATTGTCCTCGTGCAATTTTCCTTTGCCTTTGTCCAGGCGGGGCCGATCCGCTGTCCAGGATACGGACCCCAAGCTTTCCCTTGGTGAGCCAGGCTCACGTTCACCAATCCGTCCTGCCATCCTCTCCGAAGCAGGCCGACGACGCGTGTCACCTAGCCTATTAAAGGCTGAGGCCTTTCCACGCACTGGGGCCGGTCCAACTCGAAGTGGGGAAGCAGGGTGGGAGTGGGATGACGACGTGTCCTGGGGCACCAGCCCTTCATCGTTGCCTAGCTTGATGGCCAACGGCTGGGGCTGAGGAGGTGGGGTAGTGTTCTCCCCAGTCCTTGGCATGAGTGCGCTGAGGACGGTGGCGTTCTGGGCCAGGCTGGCGATGATGGCCGAGAGAGCGGATTGGAGATGAGGGTCAACGGCAGGAGAAGCCGGTTTCCCAGAGACGTTGTCACCCTTTTCTGCGCGCTTCTTGTCCAAGCTGATGCGGGTGTCTGGGGCGACGCCGTTAAGGTCGTTGCGCAGGTCAGTGGTGAGGCCGATGGCTTCATGGAAGACATCCCCGACGGGAGCCTTGTCGGCCGTAGCATCCTCCTCGTGTTCTCGGTTCTCTTGGGCCACAGGGATGGCCTTGCTGAGGAGGTTGCGGTTTGACCTAGTTCTTCCCATTGTCAGTTAGCTGTGCTTGGTAGCGACAGAGGAGGCTAACTTGATTGTTCTAGCTCTCAACGAGAGCACCAAATGATAGAGTATATATCTAGAGAGAAGTGAGAGCTAGAGAGAGAAGTAGTATATTTGCTTTGTATTAATGAATTCTGTGAACCCTTACAACTACTCCCAAGGAGAGTATTTATAGAGAAAATTAGGGCTGGGCTCCCAAGTGTTGGGCTTGGGAGGCCCATTTACAACAGGGCCACTAATGGGCCGGATACAAAGTGTATAGAAATGATAAGTATAAAATCCTGTTCTAGAGGCTATCCATGGATGACGAGGGCATGGCCGATGAGGGCAAGGCCGATGAGGGCATGGCCGACGAGGTCACCCGGTTCTCCTGACTTCTGGATCATATTCTGGGTGGCCTTCTTTCTGACCGATGAGGGCATGGCCGATGAGAGCATGGCCGATGAGGGCACCCGGTTCTCCGGGCTTCTGGATCATATTCTGAGTAGATCTTTTCCTGACCAATGAGGGCATGGCCGATGAGAGCATGGCCGATGAGAGCATGGCCGATGAGGGCACCCGATTCTTCGGGCTTCTGGATCATATTCTGAGTAGATCTTTTCCTGGCCGATGAGAGCATGACCGATGAGAGCATGGCCGATGAGGGCATGGCCGACGAGGTCACCCGGTTCTCCGGGGGTCCCACCAGGTGATCGTGGTACCTTCTGTTCTTCTGAGTATGTGGGTCCTGGGGCCTAGACCCATATACTCCATCAAGAGAATTAAATATATTAATGGTCAAAGTTTTGCGATGGCAAACTTGAAAATTAAATTGTAGCAACTAAAAAAGAACATAAGAAGTAATATTTTTCTCACATAGTAGAATGATAGAGGTCTTTGACGTGCCTCTCTCAGTAACCAAATATCTTGTAATGGAACAAATGACACGCATTTATAAATTCTTGTGAATTGGTTCTAATATGTTTTGTCACAAAGATATTTGTGTGTAGTTTTAATACAAATTTGTGACAATCCGTGATAAATCCATGTTGGACCCGTTATCTTATGTATTGTAATTTACAAATTTGAAGGTTGATTGTCGTTAAAGTTAAATCATTCCTACGGAGGAAGATACGATGGACTTTCATCATTTGACATTAAAATTAAAAGCAAACATTTTGCACTCATTTTGTGCTCTTGAGTTTGTACCTAAACTCTTGAGTGTCCTTAAGGACTATCCCAATTTTTTTGTAACTTAGACATATGGGAGAAATATCAATTCGAAAAATGAACTTACATGATCCTTAAGCAACTCAAGTACTCAATTATCACCACATACAATTCATCAACAATCGAATAAGATTTCCTTTTGTGATAGTCGTAAGTACCATGAAAGACATGAAATCAAACTTCAGCAAATTGGAGAAGTTTTAAGGTAAGGATCGATTTCCAAATATGATGGAAGAAGATGAACTTCCTTCTCATGAAACTATAGAAGTTAAAATGGATATTAAAATGAAGTTGTACACGTTGATCACACCGATTCCAGAAATGATAGAAGATGGAGCATTGGATCAAACGAGGAGGCATAATAAGTGGGAAACAATGCATGAATACATATGTATATGTCACATTCTTAATAGTATGTTTGGTGTTATATTTGATACTTCATATTTACCAAACGTGAAGTGTAAATGAATTGTGAAATTCTTTTGAATCAAAATACAACGCCGAAAATGCATCTAGAAAGAAGTTCTGAGTGAATGATTTTAATAACTACAAAATGGTTTGCTCAAGGCCAGTCCTGGAAGGGTGGAACAATATAATGAACTCTTTTATATTCTTGATCAATTTACATTCCACAAGATACATTTCACAACAGTATAATGACAAACTTTCAGCCTCTTGAGAGAATTTTAAACGCACTTTAAAAAATAAAAATGAACAAATGTCTTTGATTTAACTTGGGAGTCAATTACACATTGAAGAGTCACTTCATACGCAAGAAGATTTCAAAAGATTGGGCATGTTAAGCGTGATGAACCTCGGGTCGGTCGAAATCGTCCGTTGAGCATGCTTGTTGTTGACACATGTTTCAGATTAGTGAGTATGACGAGTCAATTCCAGTCAACGGGTCGCAGTTTCCTTGGATGAACTTTACACCACCCCAAGCCCACTACAGGGAACACCTACTATTACTGCGATCTAGCGTTGTTCTCAAGTCCACATGGCTCCATAGCTAGTGCAGTAGTGCCTAGTTCTGAATATCTTCTGTAGGTGCCGCCAATTTGCTCTTCTCATGGAAACTCATAATGCATGACGTGATGTTGCTGCCATCTTTTCTTCACAATTCCTATCACAATAATATGAGATTATCAGTTTCTCTCAATCAGAGCACCAATGGTAGTCCTAAAACAGACATTTGTGGCCTTTTGAGAGGCTACAATAGAACTAGGGATGGACCCAATCGGGCCGAACCGGCCCGCTACTGTGCGAGCTCGGCCCAGTCCGCTACTGTGCGAGCCCGGCCCGGGACCGGTTGGTCGGTTCCGGGCTTTTAGCCCATTTGGGCAGGTCAGGCGGGCCGGGCTCGGGCCCAGGTTTGGACGAACCGGCCCGGGCGATTCAGGCCAGGACCGAGTCAATTTTTTTGTTTTTTCAATTTTTTTTCTTTTCCTAGGGTAGGGCTGGTGTTTTGGGGAGGTTTGGGGGTGGGGTGAGGGGGGGTCGGGGGATAACAAGAAAGCAAAAAAAAAATAAAACATTGAACCGGGCCCGGCCCAACCCGGCCCAGCTAGGCCCGAGCCCGGCCCAGTCTGGCCCGGTTAGGCCCGGACCCGGTATCAACCCGGACCGGTTCCGGGCCCAAGTAAATGCAAAAAAAGCCCGCCCGGGCCCAGCCCGGAACCGGCCTGGGTCCATCCCTAAATAGAACGACAGATTATCCGAGTAGGAATCAAGAAATGAAATTAACCCACTAATATCTGATCCGGCTTATTACCCCAACAAAAATAATAAATCAAAACAGCTAACATTTGAATAGCGTGTGCTGCTTGTGTTCTATGAAGAGTCAATCCTGTATAGGATCACTATTGGATCTCCCTTAAACATTTATCCAGATATGATGTTGTGCTTTGTGTCCACAATTTTTTTCGGATAGTTAACCCTGAGGATTTATAGGGTCAACTATATAATAATATAGGGATTCTAGATCATAAAAAAAAACATTCATTGCTAAAATGTTCAATGGGTAAATCTGTTGCCACTGGCTTAATATGCACAGAATGAGTAAATAATCATCCTTGAACACAACTAGCAAATATCAGGAGTATAAAAAAATAGAACAAGGAAAAGGAAAAATATCTGGATATAGATTCAGTGAGTCAACATGGCCAAGCGATGCCATAAGTAATACAATATGAAATCACCCGAAAGTTGGTTTACCGGTCTTTGAATTTCTTTCTTTACAAGTGCCTGCACTTACATTCCCTGCTACGCCTTGTCTTCAAAAATTTATTTAAAACTGTCGTAGCTTCAGTAAACTGAAAAGGTGTCCTAATATGGCAACATATCGATACTATCAGAGTGATCTTGCAAGCCAACATCAACATTCATCAGTGAGACATGAAATATGGCTTCCCGCCATCACTATGAACATAATCAACGTAGTTATCTAAAAATATTTCAGCCATGGATTTTGAGGATGCTTCACTTATGACTCTGCTGCCTCCATAATATCACCTCTTGCAATTAGTCTCAGCTGGGATGCATAGGTCTCAACCTACATTTAGAAAACTAATCGAGTACAGTTGGTCAGGAAGGTGAACTGCAATAAGTTTGAAGCATTATTTACCAAATAAATTTACCTCTCCTATTCTTGTAATAAAATGAAAGCAAAATAGACATGTTTTTTTGCAGAAAAATGATCAGTATATCTGTGTATATCACAGATCAAAATATTGTAAACAGGAGAATTGAGATGAATATGACCACAGTGGCCTGGAAAGCTAAAATAGAGCACTGACCAAATGATTTACACATACAAATATAGTGGTTTAAAATTTTAACGCATAGGTGAAGGAGATTCTAGAAAACGAAAATTAATGTGCCAGTGTAACTTCGGGATCCATTTTGATAAACAAAAACAAAGATGAGATTATTTTGAACATTCTATTTCTAAAATCAATGTAAAATACAAAACAAAACAAAACAAATATCACCCTATAAGTGAAATATTACTTAAGTAAACTTGAGCACTAAATTAAGCTCCAGGGAATAACATCTATAGTTACAGGCATTATATTATCAATCAATACATGGACAACCAAAGTAAAAAGCATTATATCGAAGTAAAAAGTATTATATCAATTATCAGCCAGCTTGCTTCAATAAAAACTCAACAGAAAGATCATCCAAACCTAACAAATAGGTTTAAGTGTACGAATTTTACCAGCTAAGTAATAGACTTTTCCCTCCTTTATGAGTAAAAATACTACTTTCTGAAGTAAAATAAGAATTTCATTACATGGGCTTAAAAATACCTATGAGATTAAACAAGGACACAACAAGTGATTTGGTTCTTTTTCAGTAAATATCACTACTTAATGTGTAAATCACGTATGTCTTAATTCATCCTAACAGGCAACAACCACTGAACTATAGCAAGAATTGAGGCAATAAGTTATCCAATTTAAGCTACCAGTTTACCACCCACTCCAGACATCCTTTTCACATGAATTAAGGCAATGATTGGTGAAAAAAGCAACAATGAAAACTACTGATCTCTGTTTGAATCTCTTCAAGAATTAAAATAAGATGGCATCCTGGTAGTTGCTTTGGGTCATCGCCGGTTACTGATGCCGAAACAGTTGCCTTCTCTGTCGTACAAACAATTGATGTAGGCAAATCTCAGTTGCAGACATGCAGTTGATTGGGGTAGAAACTAAATTCACCAACGGAAGAATTCAAACCTCTGTATGTTTGCACCAAAACAAAGAACTGACAATTCAAGTTAAGTACAAGCACTTGAATTTGAAAACTCCAGTTGCATAAATTTTCCCTGTTTTTCTCCTTCTCTTCCCTTCACAAGCTCCTCAGTTCCTCTGCCAAACTTTGAGCTTCAAAATCTGGGAAACCCTTCAGCTAATCCCTGTCAGCATAGCTGTCTCTTACAGGCTATTTAGCTGGAAAAACTGATGGAACAGTCAAACAAAATGATGGGTCAGTAACCAAGTTTGACAATGTTCATTCCTATGTCTCTTGGTTGCTTTAGGTTTCATTTATTTTTTATGATAATGATGAATCTGACTATCTGAGAGTCCTTGTGTCTTTTTCAATGAAAAGATTCACAGCACCAATAATATTATTTATCATTCTTGGAGAAATCAATACCATATGGGAAAAACCAGGGTAGTAGTGGCAGTTGAAGCACTAAGTGAGATGTTTATAGTGTTAATCGTTATAAAAATCCAAGAATTGGTGCAAAGTCCCTTCTTTTTCCAGTTAGGTGCTTGAAACCATCGAGACTTGCAGAAGAAGAAGAGCCTATGGAGGAAAGAAATTGTCCAAATGAAATCCGAAAAGCATGCAAATCCAGTGATGATTTAAGTAAAGGTGTATCAACTCGACAGTGTTTAGAGCACAAAATCCCAACCCCTTCAACACACTTGATTTGGACATCTGACATCTCACCAAATGCCTAGTAGTCTTGTGGCGATAAATATTTACTTCCAGATGAGAAGTTACATACACGGTACCACCGTTCCCATACCTGAGAAAAGTAAAGCATAGGATTTCTTCTCCCACATATTATGAAGGCATCTGCAAAAAAAATGATTTCCATGATTGAGAAAATAATATGGAGCTTTTTTTAGTGGAGCATGGCACAAATTGAACCGAAAAGTCTGCAAAAACAAATGACAAGATTCTCTTTCTAATATAAAATACTTGCTCTCATTGCCCTATGTTCACCTCAATGGGTGACCTGGCCAGGGAGTGGAGACTGGAGAGCACTCGCCATGGCTGGTCGCCTTGCCTGGAGAGCGCCAAATACTGAATGATATTGCTTAGACGTCAACCAAGCATTCATAGGGCTCCCATGATAAATTTTTGGTCAAACTCATTTTAACCAGGCAGTCGAACCTGCCAAATTGCATTTTCTCTCTTTTCTTCTTTCTATCTTGCCTTTATTCATTGTCATTTCTATATTTGTCTTTGTAATTAACTTTTTTCTTTATCATTTCTTTAGATGTCAATCACATGAATCACATCACTACTTTTTGCTAAATATGTGTAATTCATGTACTGTATTTTATACTACGTATTATATTTATATAATATATTGTGATAGGGACCTAGAGAATACTAGTAATAAGAATAACATTAAGTATTTGATATTGTACAATAAGTGGTTTCTAGGCCCGGTAAACTGAGGCTGGCCCATTTAGGAGATGAGTATAATAAGAGCAGGAAAGGGGAAAAGAGGGGTAGGCAGAAATTGGATTTGGGAATAGGCTTGGGAGTGCGAGACTACTCGAAGTGTCTCAATAGAATCTGTTCTTCTCTTTCTTTCTGTCCACGCCATTGTAATCCAGTTCGATTCTGAAAACTTCATCAACGATATACTGATTTTCTACTGCATAGTTGAGTTCTCTTTCATTGGTATCAGAGCAGTCAACTCCTGGAAGCTTCAATCGAAGCGATAAAAAAATGGAGCAGCGCAGGGAACATCAACGGTCAGAGAAGGTGGCAGCCGCTGCTGTGCACGCGAACATGTAGAACAGGAGAAGCATGTGTCTAAGCAAAAGGGGAAGTAACCGGATCGAAGATCCGATCAGGATGCCTCGCGCAGAAAAGTTGGGAAGTGCGCAAACCTGGAGAATGGCTTGAACAGCGAGAAGCGCGCGAAGAGCAATGAAAGGGTAGAAAGTGACTGGGCGAAGGAGATGAGGATCTGGTTAGATGAGATGCGCACCAAGCTGAGTCAACGACGTCACCGGCGAGGACGATCACGGACTGTCCGATGCTGCCACAATTCGGAACGCAGATGTTCATCGCCATCGCAGATTCTGACGCGAGCTGTTTCTCACTGTTTGCCTTCTTCGTCGCAGGCTGTTTCTCTGAGTTCGCAGGTTTCTTCTCAGTCTCTAACCGCGTCTCACATTCCCAATTCACAGGTTTCTACTCAGTCGCCAGCATCTTCTTCCAGTTCGCCATCTTCATCGCGAGCAGAGTTCACCGGTTCACAAGTTTGGTCGTTCTCAGCTTTGCCAGCGTCGCAGCGAACAGATCTCCCTTGTTCGCAGGTTTCACTGCAGATTTTCGCTTCACACAGTGATAGGAATATGGCTTAGTAGGCTATTAGTAAGAAATAATAATAATAATAATAATAATAATAATAATAATAGTAAAGGTACTTGTAGTAGTATTGTTAGAAGGGAGTAATAAGGGGTAAAATTAGCTAAGGAGTTCAGTTTGGTCCCTGCGTGGACTTTTACTATAAATAGAAGTGGGGGTAGCTAATTAGGGGGGCGGTTATTTGAATTGTGTGTTGCCTTGTTGCCTAAGAAGTCCCTGTCCCTGAGCTACCTACGGATTACCCCTATCAATAAACTTCAGTTTCTCTACCTTTCATATTACATCTGTGAGCTTGTTTACTGTTTTTGCTTGTTGATTTATCAGTGTTCTATCATTAATGATAGAACACTGATGAATCGACAAGCAAAAACAGTAAACAAGCTCACAGGAGCTAATTGCTCTGATACCAAGGATAAATCAATAATCTTCCACTTCCGCTTCATTCTTGCACCTCTCCCTTCCCAGTACTTTACTGATTTTTGGGCTTTTAGCTTCTGTGCATGGATCTTCATCATTGCTTCCTTCACCTCTGGGCTCCCACCTAGGGCATTGTTAGAAACCCACTTATATAAGACTAATAATAGAAGTACTAATAAGAATGTTAGTAATAAGGGCACTTGATGTATTGTAGTATAAATAGATGGGAAGGGGGAGTAGTGAGGGAGGCTTTTAGACATTTTGGATTTGGGACTGGGAAAGATACGAGACTGAACATCTCGATCTTTTGGGGCTACGGATTTGGGGGCTTCGGCCTTGTTCACTGTTTCTTTTCTTTTCTGTAATCGAAATCTTCTTCAATAAAATTCTTCAGCTGATTTCGTGTTACTCTTCTTGTAATTGTTCTGGAATTCTGGAGGTTCCTAACATTGGTATCAGAGAACTCGTTCCTGTAGCCTATCAACGGTCGATACTCGATACACGCAGGACGATGGGAAGTAATCGGGAGAGAGTGCAGCGCAAATTGGAACGAAACCGCGAGGAGACGGGGAAGACTCGCGATGAATTGCGGAAGACTCGCGATGAAGTGCGGAAGACTCACGATGAAGCACGGAAGACTCGCGATGAAGTGCGGAATGGATTCGCAGAGCTGCGCGAACTGATCATACAGCAGAACGATCGACATGAACGAAGAAAATCAAGAAGTTCAAGTCACCACACTGTACATGACAGTCCTACATCATCTTAAGCAGGAGGTAAGTCGCGAACTGTTTCTTCGCAAAGCTCTTCACATCAATCTTCAAGTTCTTCTCATCATTCTTATCATCGCTCTTCTCATTCAAGAAAGACACGATTGAAAGGAGATTATTCTTCTCCACCAAAGGATTCTCACAGTTCGCTATCTTCTTCTAAAGTTGTTTCTCGGAATTCAGCTAGTTCAAAGACAGAGGAATTACCTTTATTCTATGAGGATGAAGCGTATGAATGGATTGGGAGGATGGAAAGATATTTCCGAGTCCAAGCTATTGCAGAAAGATTTAAAGTGGACGTGGCAGCAAAGGCTATGGGGGAAGAAGCAGATGGCTGGTTTCAATGGTGGGATTTTCAAAAAAGAGAAGACAGTTGGGAGGCACTAAAAGAAGATTTGATTAGGGATTTTCCACCTAGACACCGGCAGAAGACAGGGAAGACGGCAAAACAGGAGTCATCCAAGTCACGAAGAACTTCCAGTTCACAATCGAGAACTTCTTCATTCAGTTCGCAGGAATCATCAAAACAGGAGTCATTGAGGTCGCCAAGAACTTCTCGTTCACAAGCTTCTCAATCAGCGCTAGAAATTTTCCAGTCAACAGAGAAGGTTCAGATGGAACCGACTGAACCTGTAATCAAGCAAGTGAATAAGAAAGACGAAATCAAGGAGAAATGACAGTTTATTCAAGGGCCAGATTATGTTTATTCTCATCTTGCAGAGGATGTGGATTTAATTTCCAACCAAGTTTCTATTGCTGACAAGCTTATTCAACCATGTTCTTTTGGAAATAGAGCTCTAATTGCTTCTGAAACTGTTCTTGTCAAAAGTCAACTTTCTTTACAAGTAAAGGAAAGTTTTTCAGAAAAATTATGCATTGGTAAAAATAGATCTGGTACAGAGACTCAGGAGGAGGAGTTTGGGCTTGTTTCGGGAGAATCTGCTAACATTTTTGGAAACCACAAATCGATTCATGATGCTGACAAGTCTAGTTGCGTAAAGGAGATGAACTGGCTGAATGTTTTAAAATCTGAAATGATATACTGTCATTCATTAAACATTTCCTTGGAAGGGCTGAAATCATTGAACAAGTTTGATAGTTTCAGATGTGAGGATATTGCTTCTATGAAGGGTAATAAAAAGGGGTTAGAAGAGGACAATGTGTTGAGCATTATTGTTTTGAGGAGATGGATGGAGAAGTATGTTGCTGATTCTGACAGCCAGGATCAAGTTATTGGGGATAAAAGGGGGGTAAAAGTCCAGAGTATCTTAGCAGGGCAGTTGGGAAAGAATGATCCACAGATTTGTGCATTTGAAGGATCCGTCTTCATTCACTCCAATGTCAAATCTGGGATGGGAGTTAAGGACTGCAGTTTGACACTTTATGCAAATTGGGACTCCTGTAATTATAGATTGAAAGGGGCTGATGAATTTACTTTTGAATATCAGTTGGATAAAATCAGTGTGGTCCTGGATCTTAATACTCGGAGTATGGTCATGGGATTGGAAGCTGAAGCAAATTTCCAACCTTACAATATGATCTTAGGCTCCAATGAACCAAGCTAAATGTAGATGCTGGAAATATAGAAGTGGAACCCTACTTGATGGGAAAAATAGTTATAGCTATACCTCAGTATCAATGTACTGGTTATCAATGTGCAGTTCCTTCCCTGCTTGTCAATACACCAGTATACATCAGGCAGTACATGGCATCAGGATCCAGAGTGGTGGTGGGGTTTGTAAGCTGCCAGACATCTTTGGAAAGGTTCATGGTCCCACAATCAATTCGATATTGGGAAGGGAGAGGAACAAGGAAGAGGAAGAGGAAGCAAAAGATTTTTGCTTTCTCCTATTACCCATCTTGAGGACAAGGTGGATGTTTAGGGAGGGAGTATTGTTAGGAACCCACTTATATAAGACTAATAATAGAAGTACTAATAAGAAGGTTAGTAATAAGGGCACTTGATGTATTGTAGTATAAATAGATGGAAAGGGGGAGTAGTGAGGGAGGCTTTTAGACATTTTGGTCTTGGGACTGGGAAAGATACGAGACTGAACATCTCGATCTTTTGGGGCTACGGCTTTGGAAGCTTCGGCCTTGTTCACTGTTTCTTTTCTGTAATCGATATCTTCTTCAATAAAATTCTTCAGCTGATTTCGTGTTACTCTTCTTGTAATTGTTCTGGAATTCTGGAGGTTCCTAACAGGCATCAACATCTCCACCTATGTCATTCTGCTCAGCCCATTTTTCCATTGCTGGTTGGTTTGGTTCAGTAACTGCACTAGAATTTTATCCAAGCTACTCCCCAGGTTTGCCTCCATAACAACAATGATGCTGTCCAGTGAAAGAATGCCATGTTCTGCCGGATTTTGGGTACACACAACAACATCCCTTGGAAGAACAAAAGGATCAAATGGGAATCCCTTTGTCATCTCAATAGCAAGGTCAGAAAAAATTTCCATATCAAGTATTGAGATACTTCCAGCCACATTGTGTCCTACCCCACTCAATATATCTGGCAATGATGGAGAAAGCCTTGACGTCTTAATAACTTCAACCTGTCTTTCCAGAAGTATGCTAGCCTTTTGCTTTGCTATTGCGTCCTTATGAAGAATGTTACTGATGGATTCAACCAATTCACGTTTGACAGTTTCATTGATAGAATTATTTGTAATAGCAGGATTTGTCTTGTACAACTTCAACAGCCAACAGAAATTGTGTGTAACATTGCTGCCCTGCGATTTCAGATTCTCTAACCGCCAAAGTCCCAAATCTGAGAAGTTTTCTTCTTTCCTTTCCCTTATAGGCTGAAACCCCAGCGATGGCGTTAACAGATTAGCAAAGCCAAGTCCAGAACCTTTGCTTTCATAGCATTCAGGAAATGTTAATTCAACTCCCTTTGGTTCCCCAGGCTCTACTGGTCCAGACAAGATACTCTCAGGGCTGCCTTTCATCCCATCTTTTCTTACAAGAGTGTAAATAAGTTGATAGACCACTTCCTCATAGTTATTGGTAAATGTCTTGCTCTTCAAACCTTCCATCCACTGCTGAGGTTTGCTCATATAACCTCCTTTTTCCTTCCATTCCCTCCTGTCTTCATCTCTGAACATCAAAACAGTGCCTACCAATTTAATGCTAATAATAAGTATGACTAACTTTTGAAACCATTCTGGATGAGTTCTTCTAGTCAGTGTCTTCTTCAGAGGATTCCATGTATAAGCAGTTGTCTGCTCTTTTCCCCAGGTAAACCCATTTACTGTGATTTCCTCAAACCCCGTCTTCTCTTCATCTGTCTCGCAGTTAAGCTTGAACACTCTGGTTCCCCATTCTGACTTGACAAACTCATTCCCGGAAGAAGCTGTATCAATGAGGGATCTAGCCATGGTGCCATCTTCAGATCCATCCGCGACTGTAGTTTGCTCCTCGAGTTCTACTTCTGGATTTGGTTCCTTGATTACAGATTCAACTGACTTCATCTCAATATTCGTTACCGAATGTGTAGTCTCCAACAATCTAATCCCTGAATCAGCCACGTCTATTGCTCTAGAAGCAGAAGAAATTTGGGCCTGGTGAGAAGAGTCAACTTGCTGCAAATCCGGCGCATTTGATGACAAACTGGGATACGCAGAAGTCTGATTTTGGGATTCGCGATCTCTGCGAATTTCTTCCTTCATAGCTGCTATGGATGCTGCGATTTTAGCCATAAATGCCGCAGTGATGCTCTGAATCTGATCATTCATCGTGGTCGCCAGGTTTGCCATAGCCGTCCTCATCTCCAGGTTCGAACGCTTCTCCAGACGTCCGTGCGAGCCAAAGGCATCCAGTCCTGATCGTCGTTGTTGCGAGACCTGCGAAAAAACTTTTGCGCTTGGCGATGATCCCTGCTAACTGCGGGAAGCTGTTCGCGATTGGGAACCAGAAAAAATAGTCCGCGACTCCTGCGAATTGGTGAGGGATTTGCGATGCGATGTGTAATGGGCATGAGATGCTCGCCTGCATCGTGAACTACTCCGGACTTCTCTCTCCCTATTTGCGATGCTCGCCTGCATCGCCTCCATGGTCGTTGCTATTTCTTTCATTGATGTATTGCGTCTACGATTTAACCCTCCACCACTGAACGAGAGCTATGCAGTAGTCGCTCTTCAAGTTCGATCCCCAGGAGCTAATTGCTCTTCAAGTTCGATCCCCAGGAGCTAATTGCTCTGATACCAATGATAGAACACTGATAAATCAACAAGCAAAAACAGTAAACAAGCTCACAGATCTAATCTGAAAGGTAGAGAAACTGAAGTTTATTGATAGGGGTAATCTGTAGGTAGCTCGGGGACAGGGACTTCTTATGCAACAAGGCAACACACAATTCAAATAACCGTCCCCCTAATTAGCTACCCCCACTTCTATTTATAGTAAAAGTCCACACAGGGACCAAACTGAACTCCTTAGCTAATTTTACCCCCAAAACCCCTTATTACTCCCTTCTAACAATACTACTACAAAATACTACTACAAGTACCTTTACTATTATTATTATTATTATTATTTCTTACTAATAGCCTACTAAGCCATATTCCTATCACACAGTCCACAAGTTGAGTCGGTTTTATTCCGGCAGCTGTCTGTGAGTCAGCGACAACCTTCATATGAAGATACGTTCACCATCGGCTACGAGGAACAAAAGGAGAAATCATCAGTTGCCGATGAACCTGAAGCTGGCGATATTGTTCGATGCCTCACTTGTAAGGCTTCCTCCAAAAATGATTTCCTCAACCCCAACTTGGAAATCAATATGTTCAAGAGTATTCTTGCATGTGGTACTGCTTGTGTTGGAAAATCCACCAATTATCCCCAGCTTGCACAGAGGCTGAATATATGAAGGGAGATAACAACTTTGTTGCTGAAATGATACTGCACCATTATCCTATCTACTCTTTATTAAGGCGTCATCCTAGCTCAACCAAGGAGTTGTTTGAATCCCTTCTCCAAACTGCTGCAGTTGTAGGTAATGCTCTGGATGCAACTTCATCAAAAGCATTAACTGATTCTCTTGATCGTGCTTGTGGTGCTGATACTTGCTTCAATGAGCTTATGCGGCTTTTCCCAATCAGTGGCACAGGACAGGCAGATTATTTTTGTAGCAGAGATCTTAGTCACCACAAGTTTGATCACGATGGTCCTACAGATGATTTATTGTTGATCGTGGTTTTAGAGACACTGGCTGAAGCCGAAGGTTCTCTCTCTGAAGATGATGGAGATGGATATGAGTATACCAATGGTGGATACCTGTTGAAAACCTCCACTGCTGAACTTTTTTCTTCCGTTGCTACCTTGATAGTGGCCAATACTGAAGGATTGTGGAAAAGGTCAAACCGCTGTTTACTTGTAAAACTATTGCTTGGTATAGGTGCTATGCTTGAGTCATTTGTTACTGATGGAGAGACCTTGCAAACAGCAATGCCATCAGAGAATGAGGTATCAAGGTTGGTAATAGCAAGTGAAAAGAGGTACAATATTAGAAGGGAAATGGTGAGACGTGTACCAAATGTCAGAGGTAATTGTATCTCTCAGAAAAAAGGAGCTGAGCTTTCATTAGCACCGGATGTATTAAAAGGTGAGGATTGGGAGCTTAAAGTGATTTCCGGGATTGGTGGCAGAATAATATCCATGGAGCATCTTCCTACTGGAACTCAGTGGCTTTACGGCCGAGTAGATATAAACGGATATGCAGAATATAGTGGACTTGAGCACATATGCACGGAAGAGCATAATGTCATTGAAACGGATCAAGAGCAGGCAGGAGGAGTCAAATCTTTTGCATTACAAGTTGATAAGGAGGAAGTGATGATAAAGGTTCAAGTAATGAAACTCTTAGTCAAGAAAGTAGTGAGGTAATGGGAAGGGAGAGTTGCAAGGATGAAGCGGTTGGTCAGGGCTGTTTCCTACCTCCCACCTTGAGGACACGGTTGTTGTCAAGGGGGGGGGGGGGGGGGGGGGGGGGGGGGGTGATGATAGGGATCTAGACAATACTAGTAATAAGAATACCATTAAGTATTTGATATTGTACAATAAGTGGTGTCTAGGCCCAGTAACTTAGTAACTGAGGCTGGACCATTTAGAAGATGAGTAATAAGAGCAGGAAAGGGGAAAAGAGGGATAGGCAGAAATTGGATTTGGGAATAGGTTTCGGAGTGCGAGACTACTCGAAGTGTCTCAATAGTATCCCTGTTCTTCTCTTTCTTTTTGTCTATGCCATTGTAATCCAGTTTGATTCTGAAAACTTCATCAATAATATACTGATTTTCTACAGCATAGTTGAGTTCTCTATCAGGTGCTCACCTAGTAGGTGTTTGCAGGCACCGCACATTGCCTACATGCTGTGACTACCTTGTTGTAAGGCCGTAAGGGCAACAAGACAATTAGGGGGAACAGTTCCCAGACACAATCAACGCCCAAAATTGTGATTATATGTCCATATGTGTGCAAAACTGAGTCAGGGGCAGCTAAAATCGTAATAAACATTATAATGCAACCTACTACAAACTTGCTACAAGCAATCTATGTTTTCAAATATAATCTGTCCATAAACTTTTTGATACATAAGGCAAAAGGTTCAAATAGACCCTTCTACCAATTCAAATACATCACTTGAGTTCGAATACTAAAGGTGTATTATATAAGCACACTTATACTAAAAACACAACCAATCTTGGCCTGTAAAATAATTATGTTTCAAAAATAAATTTAGAAATTTGATAAATAATATAAAAATTCATATGTTTGAAAAATATAAAAATACAAATACAAAAAAGTAAAATATAAAAATTGATAAAAACTTTAAAATGTTAAAATAAAAATCGAAAAAATAAATATGTAAAAATATAAAATTAAAATGTAAAAACTTTTGAAAGATGTAGAATATACTAATATTTGAAAATGCAAAAAGATAAAGATTTTTACAATTTTGAAAGAAAAAAAAACAGTTGTTCTATTGAAGTTTAACGATCTTTAAGATTTTTTCCAAAAAACGGTTAAATGGCCGGATTGATCAATTTTTTAATGTAAGCATACTTAAAAATTAAAATTATACTACATACTTTTTTAGTATAGGAGCTTGAGTGATTGATGGGAAATGGTAGAAGAGTCTATTTGGACTTTTTCTCGATATAAAATGAAAACAACCACCAGCAAAACCGCATGCATGAAATATTACCTCAATGCACAATATTGGCAGCATCACCGCTGATTGGTAACTGATATTGCAGCTGCATCAGTAGAGAAAAACAGTGAATACCATGCACATTGCCACACTTCTCCAGAAATGGACTGAAAACACGGTGTACCAGTTGTCATTATATGTAGAAGAAAAAGTGACAAGCAAAAGGGGCAATCCAATTTATGACTATATCCAACTGCGACCAGGTATCTTCCGAATACCCCTCTCACTCATCTTATCTCTCAAATGTGAAACATCTAACCACCTATCTATTGAAGCATAAAGCCCCGACAAGAGCACATAATTTCCCGCATTGAGAGGCTCAAGTTCAAATAGCCTGCATGCTATCTCCTCACCTAACTCAATATTAGAATGCAGCTTACAAGCCCCAAGAAGTGCACCCCATGCACCAGCATAGGCCTCAATGGGCGTTGTTTTAATTAATAGGTTATACGCAGCTTTGAGCTTTCCTGACCGTCCAAGAAGGTCAACCATGCATGCATAATGGTCAGGGGAAGGCTTTAGAGAGTAGTCATTTATCATTGCAGTAACAAAACGAAAGGCATCTTCAACAAGCTCCCCACGACTACATGCTGTCAAAATCACAGTGAAGGCTACACCATCAGGCACTAACCCTTCCTTTAGCATCCTATCAAATAGACCAACTGCCTCCTCACAACGCCCATGAATAGAAAGTGCCTGCATCAACGAACAATACAAAATTACGTCACGCTTAGGTATCTCCTCAAACAAAGCTATTGCTCTATCCATGTTTCCACATTTTGCATTCATATCTACAAGAGCCGCCGCTACATGTGGTTGATGGAGATTAGATAAGCTTTGCTTCACATAAGAATCCACCTGTCTAGCCAAGTCCAAACATCCTATTTGGGAGCAAGCAGACATCAAACTGACCATAACAAACTCATCTGGTCTAAGATTTACAGACAACATTTCGAAGAACAACTTTACAGCTTCATTAGGCTGTCCATTCTGTGCATACCCTGATATCATAGCTGACCAAGAAATTATATCTCTTCCTGTAGACTGCTCAAACAAAACCCTTGCAGAAACCATGTCCCCAGCTTTTGCATACCCATCAATCATTGTCGTAAAAGAAACCACATTCCTTTCAGGCATTCCATCAAACAGTCTCTTGGCATTATTGAGGTCTCCAAACTTCACAAATGCAGTTATCATCACATTCCATGAAACCAGATTTTTCTGGGGCATTTTGTTAAACAGTTTCTGAGCTTCTGAAAAGTCACCAAAATTAACATACCCAACAATTATAGCAGTCCAGGATACTTCATTTTTCAAAGGAATCTCATCAAACAGCCTACGTGCACACTCAATTTCTTTACATTTCCCATAAAAAGTAATCAATGATGAACCAACATACGCATTACTATTCGTCCCATACCTGATTACCAACGCATGAACGGCCAGCCCATCTCTCAAAGAAAGCACAGCAGAACAAGCCCTGACCAGTGAAGTTAATGTATATCCATCCGGAACAACATCTGAACATTTTTTCATTCGATTGAAAAGTGACAGTGACTGTACTAGAGATGAATGTTCACAATACCCTTTGACGAGCGTGTTCCAGAGATAGATGTTAGGCTGAAGAATGCGCTCAAAGACACTGGTGGCATAGGCTACGCTGGAGGAGAAAGAGTTGCTAACTGAAATCAACTGGTTTACGACGATGTGGTCTTGTTCAAACCCTTTGCAGATGATGTGGGTGTGGACCTGTTGCAGATTCCGGATGTTTATACAAACCCTTAGCAGATTGAGAAGTTGTGAAGATGTGGTGCAGATGGCAGGGAAGGACATTGAGGAGAGGATGTAGGATGACATCTACTACTCCTTATACAATATAGTAGCCAAAGATTTCTTCCACAAGTAGTTCCTGCCAAACCATAGAAAGTTCTAGATTAGAAAAAGTCAGCTAAAGCTGTAAGTATTTTCTCCGCCCGCCATGTGTGAAAAGGAACTTTCTGGTTTCAATTCTACCCAACATGCTCAAGTGCCCTATTAAATCACAACGAATATGCTTGATTACAGCCCCAATGGTTCTGCTACAAGACTATATTGAACTTGGTTCAATATACAAAATATGAGTCTTCTTCAATACAATCTTTCTTGTGCGTCCCAAAATTATTTTTCTCATTTACTTTTAAGGAATGACCTACGAGGTTCATACTTTTTCTCCAATTTCTAAATAAAACTCAAATCACATAATTAGTTAATTACATATTTTATTTATTAAACATCATTATAAAAATATCATCTTTAACACCATTTACATTCCACCTCTTCCTGAATACAATGAATGGATGATGGTATAAAACCATTTCTATAGCAGAAATGAAATAGAAACAGCCATATACTCCCTTTGAAAAAGAACCATCTTCAGTACATTATGTCTCATGAACTTTAGCATAACAATGTTTGTGTTCAGTGTTTTCTAGTTCCGAATTTGAGTTGTGGAGTACTATACTTTCAAATGTTGTTGATTATATCTTAAATTTTAGAATAAAGTTATTGTGATTAATGGGTTTCTCTTCATGAGATGCATAATGTAAAAGTGTGTATTTGTTCAATTTGTCCTATAGGATTTCTGAGTCATAGCTACAATCTAAAACTTCTACAGTTGATGGTTATAGGTACTCCTTCCATCCCATTATGTTAGGGAATAGGGACAATGGTCTTGGCACAAATAATTAGGAAAAACAAAATGGAAATGTTTGGTTATATCAATTTTGTAAAATTAAGCTGAAAATGGAAAAACGATTTGGGACAGACTAATTAAAATGGAAATATGAAAAAAAGACAGGACAGGTGGCTTACACTGTCACGAATGCCCCCGTCTTGCCAAACTCTGTATTAACGAAGGGCGGCTATTTCAGTGGCGACTTCACCTTCAACTTTAACGCATCCCACCCGTATAAAAATCAAACCATTCACTACAGCAACACAGAGGCATCACCCTATTTCGGGCAATGGCGAACGACCGGATGAAGGTTGCTAACGGCACGTTGCCGTCTTTTTCGCAGCTTCCCGGCGGCGACCCGGTAAATAGCGTCGTTCCCTATCTTTCCCGACAAGACGCGGTCCTTGACTCCGCGGCGATAGCAAATGGGATGAGCATCACCACGACTGACCATGAGACATTGCATTATTTGTTTGGCAAATTTCTTTAAATAAGAGAAAAAAGATAATTCCAAAATAAGAATGTTATGTTTTTAATTCCAAAATAGAAGTAATTATTACGGAGTACTAAATTTGAAAAATACTACGGAGTATCAATGTTTAAAATCTGAAGTGTCAAAACATTATAGTAATTATTCTTATTTTGAAAATAAAAATATGATGATCCTATTTTGAAATATACAAACATTTTTATTCTTATTTAGAGTAATTTCCCTATTTGATAGGCTTCCAAGTTGGGGATGGAATGGTTGACATCGGTTCTAAGAATGTTTTCTTTTAGATTCAAATTTGTTAGTCTGGTCTGGTTTGTTAGAGTATGGTCTAATCTGGTCTGAACTGGTAAATGTCTAGTCAATGTGTATTTTATAACTTTGAAAGTTTGGTCTAGTATATTTGTTTAAGTCTAGGGTCTAGTCTGGTCTGATTTCGCTTTTCTGGTTTGGTCTGGGGGTGAAAACAAAATAAAAGAAAACACCCTAAATATGCAAGATGTGGTTACTGGGAGGCAGATATGTTTTTAGGTATGTAATACTCCGTAATAAACAAGAGAAAATGATTTAATACTCTACACGTTAATGGGGTGTGAAATAAGTACATCAAACTTGCATATTTAATATATATCCCGAACTTTATATAAAAAGATATTTTTGCGTCATGATTGAAAATAAGTAAAAAAAGGTGACTAAGCTAATAAGTCATAATTTATATGAAGGCGTATGTAAATCCGACTATATAGTTGAACAACTAAGTCATAGTCTCAATTAAGTCTATTTAGTTGTAAAATCCGTAAATAAACGGCCCCTAGGTCATTTTGAGTTGGAAAGAGAGAGAAATGAGCAAAGTTCGTGGAAAGATCCTTTTTGAGATCTCACCTCCCCTTCTCAACCTTATGAATAATTATTTAATCAGTGGTTCTAATTTTTTTTTACTCAAGTGGGTCTGGGGAGAGGGTCTGGGAGGCCTAGATTGATCAGGACTGAAACTCACTCCATTGAGTTTCAAACCCTTGTGTGTCTAGCAGGTTTCGAACTCGAGACCTCTGGCTAGGCACAGTAACCTCACAAAAAGCATGAAGAATACTTGGTTTAATCATTGGTTCAATTTTTTACATGGATGTCTTTTCCATTGAAGCATAAAAGGATGGACTCTCTTTGCTTTATTTATTTTGGTCTACATACAATTGACCTTTCCAAAACACATTAGCACCGGTGCACCAAAGGCGTTGGAGATGTAATGTTTCTTGATTATTGTAGGTTGCAGTTTTGATCAATTTTACAGAGAAAAAACTCTTGTTGAATTGAGAACGGTGAAATGAAAATCTGACCTTGACTTTATAAATTGAAGAATATAGTGTGTATATTGTATTCTTTATTCTTTAGTTTAAAATTTTAAAAGTTTGTCTCGTAAAACTAAAATTGGTTGATTCTACTGAAATTTATAAAGTTCTGGCTAAAGTGACTGAGTTGGCTGTTTCTATTGATTTATGAAAAATTATATGAAAAAATAGTTAAAATGATCGTATACAATAACTTCAGTCAATATAACCAGTAGAGTAACGTCAATCTTACTTTTTCTTATTATTACACAACTTAGCCTGCAAAATCAAAAGTTACGTGTTTGGTGAAAAAATAACTGATATCTGATAAGAAGAAAAACAGGGTCACCAAAGTTACATAAGCATGTTTTTACTTGGACCATTTTCAATCCCACACCAAACCAGGTCAGACCAAATCAGACTTTGACAGTTATAAAATACTCAAAGATCAAACATTTGTTAGACCAAACTAGAGCAGTTCAGACCACAAACCACAAAATTCTGGTCCAAGTAGAAATATCATAAATTCTGGTCCAGGTAAACAATTTTTTATTTTTGCCATATAAACAAATACGGGGTAAAATAAATGGGTTCCAAATATTAAAGCATAAATTATATAATTATTATTATTCTATTAGATTGTATCATAAACTAGTCAATTGTATATCTTTAGCTCCTAATACGTAGCTAGATCCAATATATTAGCTAGGCAGTTAGCTTTAGTTATCTATTGTACGTGTATAAATTCATACTAAGTGTACATCACAAACATAATACAATTCAACACTTTCATGGTATCAAGAGCCAGACTCTTAAGAGCCCAATTTTTTTCCTAATTTTCTTCCCAATGACGATCACAGCACCCTCTCCGGTCATCCCTCTTACCGCTACAGCCAATTTCCCGATCAAACTCACGGCGTCCAACTTCCCATTGTGGAAATGCCAAGTTCATGCCACCCTTGTTGGCCTTGGACTTGAAGGGTATGTTGACGGTACCATCAAAGCCCCGGATCAATTTACTGATGATGCAAAAACCCAGATAAATCCATGCTATATTATCTGGTATCGCCAGGATAGGACTATCCTAAGCGCTCTAATTGGGAGTTGCTCCGACACTATTCAGTCGCTCATCTCCTCTACCACAACATCACGCAACGCATGGGATAATTTGGCACTGACCTATGCCAACACATCCCGCGGTCGGATCATATTCCTAAAATCGACACTTGCCAAAACTACCAAGGGTGACAAATCTGTCATGGAATACCTCACTATAATGACCAAAATAGTGGATGATTTGGCCCTTGCGTGCTCAAATCCCTACTCCCGAAGAAGATCTGATTGTCTCTATTCTGAACGGTCTTGGCCCGGACTATCGTGACATCACGTCCGCGATTCGGGTTCGCCAGACACCGTTATCCTTAAGTCAACTCCAAAGCATACTGGAGGAGCGTGAACGTGAGCTTCAAGAGGCCATTGCGCCAACTCCAGGTCTCCTGCCAACCGCAAATGCCACTACCCTTACTGACCGTACGAATCACTCCTCACATTATGGAGACCGGCGTGCCAATTCTGCTACTGACCGAAGAGGGTCAGCTCCTCGTCGTGGCCAATGAGGATATCCACAGCATCAATCCCGCCACCCTTCTTCTTCTTCCATGGTTTGCCGGTTTTGAACCAAGTCAGTTCGAGTCTGGTTCGTTTTTTCGTTTAGAATGATGGTTCTAACAAAAACAGGGTAATCCCTGCGATTTAAAATTCCATTTATATACTCTATACAAGAAAAATAAGCTAACAGAAATTGATAAGGACAAAGTTGCCGAAGGATTCAGAAGGACTGTCGAGCAAGGTGGAGCAACAAATGTCGGCGGCTGAAGACGGCTAGACCTAATGCCAGGTTGGGGTTGCTGTAGTTGGTGAAGGACTGAAGGGAGCGAGGTAACGTTAGAAAGCGGAAACTGGATGTCAGTATAACGTTAGAAAGCGGAAACTCGAGTTAACACCATTTTTTACACTAAGGTGGTGTCCCCAATATGGATTTTAATGGATTTTAAAAGATTTTAGAATTCCACCAGAATCCGGGTGTCCTCAACTTGGATTTTATAAAATCCTTTAAAATATGGGTGTCCCCATTTATTCCATGGATTTCTTTCATTTGGATTTCAATTGATTTTAATGGAATTTAAATAGGAAAATAACCCCAATCCACTCCACCTATTCTCTCGCCCTCACCCCTCGGATTTCAAAGGATTGCTGCCGGCCTCTTCTTCCCAAACTCCTCCCCACTCCCCAACAAATTATCTTCTACCTCTTCATACGTCTCTCCCAACTCTGCTTCCCCCACTCCTCAACAAATTATCTTCTACCTCTTCAAACCTCCCTCTTGAAATGGTGATAGCAGATCTCTGACAATAAAACCGCCATAAATATATGACAACAAGCACCATCGAATGGACTTCCTTAGGTCGTGAGTAGTGAAAGGTAGCATATCTCACCATAAACGCAGTATCCAATTGTTCACAAGGTACTGCTTCACAATTTGGATACACCTTCTCTGCGGTTGATTCACTATAGGCACCTCTCGCCCCCTCAATAAGCAAGCAAGCAATGTTCATAATAGGAACAATGTCATTAATCAATCATCCAATTAACAGATAGACATACACCTGAGAAGCTCGAAGATGAGACTCTTGGGGTGCCATATTTGACAAATCAGCCGAAGTCAAAGTCCTGAGGTTCCCCACAGTTCAAAAACCAAAATCAATCTCCGATGAAAATAGAATTTTACAACATTCCATTACAATCCATGAAATTATATTCTCTTAAAATCCATGGAATTCCATTAAAATCTATGGATTCTTGAAATTCCACTAGAATTCTATGAAATTCATAATCCTTAAAAATATTTTAAAATCTAAGTTGGGGACACCGCCCTAAAATGGTGTAAACATCACATTAAACAGTATTTTATCTCCAAGAGTTTACACCATTTTCATCACAAAAAAGGATATTCTCTTTTTATTCTTTTTACTAACTTTTTATCATTCTTCTATTTAAGTATTTAACTATCTTATATTTATACATTAGGTCATCTCCAACAGTTAACACCATTTTTTACACTAAAATGGTGTAAACATCACATCAAACAGTATTTTATCTCCAACAGTTTACACCATTTTCATCACCAAAAAGGAATATTCTTTTTTTATTCTTCTTACTAACTTTTTATCATTCTTCTATTTAAGTATTTAACTATCTTATATATATACATTAGCCCCTCATTTAATATTTTGACATTTCACACATACAAACTAAAATACGTGTGCGTGTCTATATATATACATATATTTTTTGTATATATACCAACAAAAGGTAATTTTTATCTATCAAGAAACTATCTTAGAACCGTGTGGTCCTTTACTAAATTGATGTATGCGCAGCTTGCTACTGGAGGAAGATGAGTATCACAGGTTGGCTAGTTTAACTATCCATCACCTCCTTGAGAAGTTGGAGGTAAAAATTGAACACTTTTGACATTTATGCTCTTAAATGTTTTCCTGCCACAGAAATGTTTTCAGTCTTGTATTAATTTTAAAATGATACTCTTATATTCATTTATATTTTCTTGTTTCATAGACAACACATTTATTTTTTTTAGCTCCAATTTCATATGTGGGTTCATGTTAGCATACCCCACACTGTTTTGGGACTAAGACTTGGATATTGTTGTTGTATAGGCAACACAGTCATGGAGGAATCATAGTGCATTTTATGTTGGATATTAGTAGTATCTTAAATCTTAAATTATTTTTACCAATAATGTTTTTGGTTATCCATTCTTGTTTTTAGTTATCATTTTTGTTTTTTCATGACAGGAATATGGTGATTTAGTAGATATTGATGGTTTGGATGTTGACTATGGGGTGAGCAGGACAAAGTTTTCAATTTCATTTCATGGTTAGCACGTGTTAATACGCTACATATTAATTTTGGGTTCCATTTGCAGAATGAGGTTCTGACCTTGAAGCTTGGAAGTTCAGGAACCTATGTAATAAACAAACAGACACCTAATAGGCAAATATGGATGTCATCACCAGTAAGGTATTTACATATTCTTTATCCTGAAAACTGTCTGTGTGTGACAGTGTGCCTATTATTCTCATTACACTGTTTTTATGTTTCTTCAACTTGTGCATTTGTCTTCAGCATCTCATAATTACATGTTGGAATCTGGTAGTAGATGGTCTAATTTTATACCATGTATTGTAGGGCTGGATTCGGTTCGGTTCCCGAACCGAAATAAGAAATATCCGAACCGAACCGATCTTTCGGTTTCGTATATTCTATAACCCGAAACCGAACCGATCTAAGATGGGACCCAATTTTTCGGAAACCGAATTTTCGGTCCGGTTTTTCGGTTTTTGTGAAAAAACCGAATGGGTATTCAATATTTATTTATATTGTAGTTAATACTCGCACTCAAGCTTTACTAGCAACTTAGTCTTTATCAGCTATGAAGGAGCGATTATATAGGCTCAAATGAGGAGTGAATCCTCTATTTCATCCGGTGTGGGACGAGTTGTAGGCTGAAGAAAATCAAATTGGAAGAATTGGGGCGGAAGAAAAGCAAAAAATGTTTAAGGTAATCCGTCCTTGGGGGGATTCGATCACGGGTGACACGAAGGGAGCGTGTTACCTGTCACCGCTGAGCTACTCCGGATTATTGGCAAATTGGGATGCCAAATGTATTACATACATTAGTTAAAGAAATTAAATAAAATAATTTAAAACTGTTATTTAATAAATAAATCGGTTCGGTTCGGTTTGAACCGATTTTCAATATCAAAGAACCGGTTCCGAACCGATTTTTATTCGGGTCCCAACTTTCGGGTCCCAATCAAGTCGGTTCGGTTTCGGTTCGGTTTTTTTCCCGCTCGGTTCGGGTTTTTTCAGTTCGGTTTTCGGTTTTTCGGTTAAAAATTCCAGCCCTAATGTATTGTATGCTTCTTTTAACTATCCTGCCTCATGGTTGATAAGTTAGTATTGATTTCGTTGTTGTCGTGGCTATGCTCTATCACTTGTGTGTTGCTACTATGTTTCGACATGGGCACTTCTTTCGTATTATCTGTACACTATATAGCTTACAGTCTGTTTAATTTGCGTAGTACTGCTATGTATATTGTAAAATTCGGCTTTACCCACAATTTTGCTTGGGATGTAAAATGCTAAAATTCCAACACATTTTATGAATAGGGGCTGAAATGTTATTGACGGGGCTGAATTTGCTGATATTGTGATTGAAATGACTTGAATAATTTGATTTGTCGATATTGTGAATCTAAGGTCTAATTATGGCTGAATAAGTTGAGTCAACAAAAAAATGCGTATTTTACTTTTATAAAATTATGAAATGATAGAGTATAATTTCTCATTTCTAGAACACATTTGTCTCATTGATCTGGAAAAAACAGGGCTGCCATAGATATGCTTATGGCACGCTGGGGGAAGTGATAAGAGGATTTCTAATGGTTGAAATTTGAAAACTGATGGGACGGTAGGAGAAGGAAGACTTACAGAAGGGGATCTAACTATATTTTCGGTGTCATATTGCTCTAAATAGTACTCCGTATGTAGTATATAAACTTATTTGAACCATAGCTAATCAACATTGTTGGGAGAATCAGGAAAAATCAGAATCGATGAGCCCTATTTATAGGTCAATATAGATAGTCCTACCATAACTACAAGTGTGGTATGATGAATAAGATATATAAAATACATTTAATTACAACTGAATCTTGTTTTAATGGGTCGTGAGATATATAGGCTTGAATTATTGTCATGTAAATCAAAGAGAGTAATTGATATTTTTGGGAACTGCAGTGGTCCGTCAAGGTTTGATTGGGACCAGAAATCTGAAGCTTGGATTTATAGGCGAACTGAAGAAACCTTGTTCAATGTCTTAGAGACTGAACTGGAAAAACTTTGTGGGACACCCATCAAACTCGGATGACTTACTATTGACAAGGGGCAACCTTCACGTCCTCTTCGAGATCAATGCATATACACCGAGTAGTATCATTAATATCCAAGACATGGAAGAGTGCAAAGGATGTAGAAATGCCAAAGAGCTTAAATGTTCCTGAATAGACTAAACTAAAGTGGCTTCTCCAAAGGGAGCACTCTTCATGGGATGCTTTGATTTAATCGATTTTCAAATACTGTATTCTTCTTCAATTGCAATTTTTGCTATCCTTTGCTACTTATAATATCTCATTCTCTTTTTCAAATTTGCACTATAATGGGATCTCCATGTCTCATTTTTTCTTCAGTTGCATACTTGCATTACTGATTTCACTCCATCATGAGGATACACATTATGTTTCATACCAGCACATTGACTATATTAAACATTTAAGTTGTTTCTTATTAACTCCAACGGTTTGAATTTCATGTTATTCACATATCATTGAAAAACGTGTCATTGAAGTTGTTGCTACTTTTATTCCAGCTTTTATATCTAATCAAAATGTCACTTTAAAAACTAATTGATAACTAAATATATCAATTGTAAAGTTTTGTATCGTGGAACGTGTTGGTTATTGACTTATTGCAATTAAAATATAAAGGATGTGATTCAAATAAGCCAATGAGGTGTTGGTACTTGCTAGGGTTGTCTATGGTTTGTTTAGATCTTAGGTTACATGAATGAGTCGTGTATAAGCAGTTTTTGATTGAGATTATACATATAATAATTTCAGAATTTTTTATAAAAGAAGAAATAAGAAAAGGAAAGTGAATTAGAAGATATGGAATAGAGATCACGATGCTCAACATTAGATTCTTAATACACAACAAAATATGTTTGATGCTCATTAAAAGTGCATTAATGCTTGTCTAACAGAAGTTACAATTTTCACTTACACTACGTAACTGTCACCGGTTCACTTACACTACGTAACTGTCACTGGCTGTACGGTGTGCACCGTACAACCGTGTATGATATACTACCTTGATTTCATGAGCTTTTGAAGAAGCACAAGAAATAATTTTTTTAAATATTATAAAATGTCAAAAATTGTGTGCTCTAATCGTACGAAGTGTCATAATATTGTCAAAAACTAAAAAAATATTATCTAGTACTCTCTCCGTCCCATTTTACATGTCTTGCTTTCCTTTTTGGGTTGTCCAAAAATAAGTGTCATTTTTCCCTTTTTGGAAAGAAATATGTGGTTCACAACATTTCACTTTACTTTAATCAAATCTCAACCACAATTTTTACCTTTTCAACCACTATATTAAAAATTGTGCCAAAACCAAATGAGACACATAAAATGAGACCACTGTTTATGTAGTATATCATAAAATGAACTAGTTGTAGTGGTGACCACCGCTTCCCCGACATTGACCCTTCGTAACCTCTACATAATCGCTGCCTAACAGCATATTTCGTGCATTGAATTGTGCAATAATTAAAATAAGTAATGTTGAAGAGACTTTTCTAATTGTATCGGTTGACGTTGTTGTAGAGAATCTTTTTACCTATTTTTATATAATTTTTGGAATTTTATCAATCCGGGACCTGAAAGATAAACGAACTATCAATTTGGGACCTGAAAGATGAAATGTATCGATATAAGACTCGAATGATGGAAAACTATCAATCTAGGACCCGAATGATTGAAAACTATCAATTTAGAACCTAAGTTTTCATAAATTTTAGAAAAAATTGATTGTAATAATCTCAACTATTGGCGGTCCGCTTATAATAATCCCAACTATCGATTATCCCAGAATAATCCCAACTTTAGTGACCTTCCGCCAATAATGGTCCAACATGACCGGCTATAAAAAAATTCATATAGTTTCTAAAGTGAATGAGAAGAGATATAACAAGTAATCCCTATAAATAATTCAACTTTTAATTTTTACGCTTTATTTCTATTTAAAATTCACTTTTTATAGCAGGTCATATTTGATCATGGACCATTATTGGCGGAAGGTCACTAAAGTTGGGATTATTCTGAGATAATCAATAGTTGAGATTATTTTAAGCGGGCCGCCAATAGTTAGGATTATTACAATCAAATTTTCCTAAATTTTATTATTATTTTTATTTTAAAAAATTTAAATAAAATTTAGTTTTGTTAAACTAATAAACTTTTGTGAAAAAATTTTCACCAAATATTAGCAATGGAATTAATAAAAAATTAAATAAATAAAAGCCTATGAAATGTTAGGTCCTAGGTTGATAGTTTTTTATCTTTCGAGTCCTATATTGATACATTTAATCTTTCAGGTCCCGAATTGATGATTCGTCTATCTTACAGGTCTCAGATTGATAAAATTTCATGATTTTTTCTTTATTTTACTAATAAAATATATATTTAAATGTAAATTTTTCATAAATCAGTAGAATCAGTCAATTCAGCCATAATTTCATAAGTTTAAGCAAAATCACTCGATTAATCCAATTTCAATGTCATCAATGCTCTCTATATAGGTGTATATCAACTATTTCTTTGAGTTTTCCTTTTTTTTGCCAAACCCAAAATAGACTCAATTTTATTCATTCAAAAGCTAATAATATTACTTATGTCATTCTTACTATGTATAAATAAATTTTGACATTTTCTGAAGATTTTAATAAAATAAAATTTTAGGGGAAAATATGATTAAAATATGATATAATATATCATATACGACCACAATAAGGGTATTGGATTAAAATGTAACTTTAACCTTTGGCAACTATAATTATATTCAAAATTAAAATGCTCAAATGTACTCATTATCATTATATAAAAAAATCAATACCAATAAGTTATTGTTATTGGTTTAGATAAGGGAAAAAAAGGGTTAGATAGGTCCTCGAACTTTTATAAAAAGGTCAAATAAGGCCTTATATAGGAGTTTCTGTCCGGCCGTCGCCATTTGGGGCGGTTTCCGGTGATTGTTTGATAAAATTTTTTGAACATCTTATTCATTAAGTCTAGTTTACTCATACCAAATTTCAGATAAAAATTCAATCGGGAAGGCATTCAAATTAATTTTTGAAGATAACTGCGCAATAATTACGTAGTCATCTTCAAGAATTAATTTGAATGCTTTCTCGATTGATTTTTTAACTAAAATTTGGTATGAGTAAAATAGACTTAATGAATAAGATGTTCAAAAAGTTTCTTAAAAAAATCTATCTAAAACCGACCCACCCGATGACGACCCTCGTATAACTAAAACTAGACTTTTTTATGAAATTCTAGAAATATACATAGTATATCCCAGGCTTTCTTGCTCGAACTCTTCTGTCCTGTAAATCGTGTGAAGTGTGTGGCCAATACGGTGGGTTTGGGAGGCAGAGATGGAGACGAAACCTACAGAAATCAGCAGCTCGAAGATGTTTGGAGGGTACAACAAGAGATACAAGCACTACAGCCCAACCCTTGGTTGTTCCATGACATTCCACATTTACTTCCCTCCTTCTCCTTCTTCTTCCCACAAATTCCCAGTAATTCTTCCAATTTCTCTCTACCCTTAATGGGATTCTTCAAATATCAAATATTAATATTATTCTACTTACAGTATCGTTTTTGTCTTTAAGAATTGTGCTGGAAAAAATGAATTTCACGTTGTAGTTAAACCATTCGAATTCAAGAAGGGATTGTGCTTTGTGGATTGATTCATTTTTAAAAATTAAGTAGAACCATCATTTAAAGGCTCCTCGCTGAATATTGTTATATTTCAGCTTTTATCACTTACCTTTGTCGGCTGTGTGTAACTACAATATAAGTGACCTGTTCACAAAGTTGAGGCTTAACGCTTATAATTATACGGAGTATATATTATCAACACTTCTGAACTGAAATCTAGCTTTGGTTTTTGGTATGAGAACATCTTTCTTGTTTGATGAGTTACCCAATGCTCATAGCATTCATAACTGCATCCTCATTACTGCTTTTAGGTGCTCTACTGGCTCTCAGGCCTAACATGCACAGACGAGAACTTTATTATAAAATCCGGTGCCCAACGTGCTGCTTCAAGTGAGGGTGTTGCACTAATTGCACCAGATACATCTCCAAGTGAGCCATTTTCTATATGCAATATTTCAATTTGTACATGTTGAATTGTTATAGGGAATATACATAGATACATAGATAAATGCTTATAGGATGACTGATCTTTATCTCTACTGGAAGGGAGGAAAATGTGATCATGGATCATCAGAAAATTCTAGCTCATGTTATAACCTAGTTGAGGCATTAAGCAGTGTGACTTTTCAAGTTGACTGGTCATATTTGAAAATCTCTAATGCTTCTTATACACTTTGGAGAGCTTATAGAGGTGATGTTGTGCTCCACACACAGAAATATTTATACACACGGCATATTCAATTTCGTTATTATAAACCACAGCCGCTTTTCTAGTATTTTGGATCTAAAAGGCATAATAATAATCTGTACTAATTCTGAATATGGACATTTTTTCCCTCAGGAGGACTGAATGTAGAGGGAGAGTCTGATAGCTGGGATTTTGGTGTTGGTAAGTAAAAGTATTGTTTCTCGATGTCAACCATCTAATTGAGTTGTGCCAACATTAGAAAGACAGTGCTTGACAATTTTAGGTATCATTAAGAGCATTTGAATGGAATAGATATCTCACTGTTTGCAATCTACATGAATAGAATATTAGTAAAATTGATCTTAAAATGTACCATGTAGTGAAGTTACTGTACTGTAGTGGGAAGTCACCTTTACTGTTTGCAAGATATCAAGAGTTTGAGTCTTGGTACAAACAAACAATGCACACTTACACGAGACATCTATTTGTGCACTCACTTTCACAAAATCCTTTTATTCTTGCCATTTGAAAGAGAGGTGAATATTCCTCTTGAGTTGAAAGTGTCATTTCAAGTCATCAAAATCACCCATTCAAGTTGACTTGTGCATGTAAGCTTTTCATCTAACCATTTCATCCAGTGTGAATAAGTTCAATTTAATAGGTGCTGGATTTTACCTAAATGCCACCCAAGAGAAGTGGAAGAATTGGCGTATGTATGACTATGTTGTGAAGGAGTTGCCGATGCTTCTCACTGAGCACTTTCCGCAGCTTGAGACGTCACGGGCATCCATCTCTGGTCACTCAATGGGTGGGCATGGAGCACTAACAATCTACCTCAAGAACTTGGATAAGTACAAGGTAAAGATAATTTTATCTCATGGAACTAAAGGTATAGTCAGTTATCTGCTTTCCAACTTGTAAATATAGGTGTGTGTGCGTGTTTGTGCTCTCCCGTGCAATTGTTGCAGGAGAACATCATTTTTAAGTGCATTTCTTTTCATGGTTAAGCACTTAAGATACACGTTTTTGTAAATGTCTTTCTTGACTTTCTAAGATCAAATATAATATTGGTTGACCATTTTGATTTGTACTCCGTATTACAATGATATTACTTCAAACTTCAAATGCCTTTCTTTAAACACTTCAGGATTCCTTGTGTTGACATATTACGGTTGTCTATTTTCAGTCAGTTTCAGCATTTTCTCCAATTGTGAATCCTGTGAACTGTCCTTGGGGCCAGAAGGCATTCACGAACTACTTGGGTGAAAATAAAGCTTATTGGGAGGTATGATCTTGAAGAACACTCATTCACTAGTTATGTAATCTTTTTCAGTGTATTGAGCTGGATATGTGAGATGATACTAAATATTGCATGTGCGATGTGCAGCAATATGATGCTACCTGTCTTGTATCAGGTGCTTCAAATCTCTCTGCTACCATACTAATTGATCAGGTGAGATGCTCAATATGCACTTTGATTTTCCATAATGCTCAATATTTGATTTTAGCTGCCTTGTTCAGACAAAATTTGCTAACAACCCTTTACCATACGTTTTTAATGTTGTGAACTTCTATATAGGGCTGCCAAAACGGGCCAATGGGTAGCTTACTAGCTTTCTTCAACTCGTGGCCCATTATGTCAGCTGATTTAGGCTCTCTTTCAAACATAATTCATTTTTAACGACCCCACCCCATTTGCATGCGTTATACACTACGTGAACTTTCCACACTTCGAATTTACCATCTCGTGTCACACACTTTTTATTTCCGGTTGAATGGTCACTCATTGCGATCGGTTAGTGCATGTTTATTACTCGTGATTAATCGGAGCTCAATGAAGCCAGGTTCTGATAAATAGTTTATCTATCAGCTTAGAAACATCTCAAAGATGAAAACTACGGAGTACCAAATTGAGACTTAAACATCATGATTTGAATCTTTGTTATTTTGAAATATTTTTTTACTTTAATTTTCAGTCAAAATTCCTTTACAGATTAAACTATTTTTAAAGAATTACTAAAATTAATTAAAACTTAAATGAGAATCAAATTTCACGATCAATGGTTTCAATCATCCATGTCCTAAATTAGTTGATACGTAGTTTTCATCTTTTGATATCTTAAATTGATAATAAGCCATCTTTTGTGTCTTGAATTGATTGACCTCCATTATTTTCTAATATATGTAAAATAAAAAGTTGTGCTCTGGCTTGTAATTGATGTTTTATATCCTTGTATTTTCTGATAGTCGGCTGTCGATTGTTGTAGGGAGAAGATGACAAATTCATGAATGATCAGCTTCTGCCACATAAATTTGAAGAGGCATGTAGAAAAGGCAGCATCCCTCTCCTCCTGCGCTTGCAGCCTGGATATGACCACTCCTACTTTTTCATTTCTACCTTTATCGAAGATCACATCCTTCATCACTCTCAGGCTCTTAAGCTGTAACTGGCCAAAACCCCATGTAAGCAAACTAAGTATACCCACACCGTGGAGTGTTATGTTGGTTTGGATGAAATGGTTTTGGTAATAAAACAATGTGTGAATTGAATTGTATGTTTTGTATGAAGCTTGAGTACAGTTTTAGCATTTTCTGGTAAATACCTGCCATGTCATGATAAACTTATATCTTGTGCTTATTTATTCGTGTCTAAGAAGTAGGTAAGTATCAAATCCAACATCAACAGCATACTTCTAAAATATATTAGATGTTTTCCCCCTAACAAAGATAACTGGCAAAAAAAGGTACATCTCTTGCTCAATGATTTGAAATGGGTAAAAGTTACAGATTGCATGTACTTGTGCATGGTATGGTACAGAGTAGTTGTTTTTAGGCCACAACAGTCCTATGGCTGATTCTGATAAACCTCCCTTCCATTGAGTGGCTGCACTGGCCTTGCATTTTCTTGGAAACCCTAAACAAGAGTATGAAACAAAAAGGAAGGGAAATTAAACTCAATTCTGCAAGTCTACAAAGTATTTTTGGATTTTCCACAAGACTGTTTCTATAATGAAATGAAAGTACTTACTTCATCAACAGCATCCTTTATCGCGTCTAGCTGTTCCTTAGATACTGTCTTGGCCTACAAACGCCACAAGTTCATTTGAGACCATTTGGCGGGAGTGAATTATGGCTAAATTATTTATGATGAAAATTGCACTTGGTGTGTGTTTTGTAACCCATTCTTTGGCTTATTAGCTTTATTACTAAATTTTTAATTTCAGGCACTGAGCTATGTAATATTATAAATAATGAAAACTCGAGATACTACTCTAGTTGATTTGATAAGGGTGACAATTTTAGCTTTTTTCATATAGAGTATAATTTATTTGAAAAAATATACTCCCTCCGTCTAGGCATGGACCGGGCTTGGGCCGGGCCAGGCTCCGGGCCGGTTCATACCGGGCTTTTTAAAAAATGTTAGGCCCGGAACCGGTCGTGGTATAGACCGGGCCCGGTTTAATGTTATTTTTTTTTGCTTTCTAATTAATCCTTGACCCCCCCACCCCCACCCCCAAACCCCCTCCAAAACACCTAGCCCTACCCAAGAAAAAGAAAAAAAAATGAAAAAAAAGCCTGGGCCTGTTCAAGAAAAATAGGGCCCGAGCCTGGCCCGCCCAACTCGCCCAAACCGGGCTTAAGCTCGGTCCCGGTTTGCTCCAACAGGGCCAGTCCGGGCCCGCACAGTAGCGGGCTGTGCCGGTTTCGGGCCGGGCCAAACCGGTAGAGTCCACCCCTACCTCCGTCCCTTAAAACTTTGCCAAGTTTGACCGGCACAGGGATTAATAAAGTAAAAACTGTGTGGTTGAGGTTTGTGCAGAGGAGAGAGAATTAACTCAAACCACATATTCTTTACTTAAAAATAAAAGTGGCAAAGTTAGTGGGACATCCAAAAAAGGAAAGTTTACAAAGTTTTAAGGGACGGAGGGAGTATTTATTTATAAATCTGCCATTTCAATCTCAATAGACCGACTAGAGGCCGTCTCCTCTAGGTTTAGGGTTCGTATCCTCCGCTTTCATCTTCGACGAAGTGTAGCTCAGAAGGACACCAATGGGCCTCCGAGGTTGTTTGGTCGAGTAGGTGGGTTGATTTTTGGAGCACCATTCTTGTGCGACTTTGTACCGCCATTCTTGTGCGGCTTTCTTCTTCGACAGCCCTATAACACCTATATGGCGGAGATTGCGAACAAGGTCAGGCCTTGCAGGTTGCGGTTGGATGAGGATGAGGTAGACCCGACGCAAGATAGTTTGGAAAAGTTGATCGAGCAGTGCGCTGGTTGGGAGTTCAGGATGGGGATGACAAACTAGTGCTAGATGAGGAGGATGCGGTAGACCACATGGAGCCGTTGTTTCCGGGGGCTTGTCCCCCTCTCGAGCCGCTGCCGTGGAGTGTAAGTGAGTCTAGGGTTTGGAAGAAGATGAATGAACTCTGTTTTAGTTCCGTTTTATTTTGTTTGTGTTTTTCTTTCGAATTGCATGTTGTTTTGGGTGTGTTCTTATTTCTTGGCAGAAAGATTCTAGATTTTAAGTCAGATGATGAGAAGTCTGGTTTGCGTGTCATTGGCTCAGTTAAGCCCATTACAGGATCGATGAATGTTATTGCTTCTACGGAGGTGATACATTCTAAGTGTTCAAGGGCGGATGGCAAACATAAGTTTTTTGTCATTTCTTTTCCTGCGTTATCCCTAAGTGCATTGTCGACAAACATTTGTTGATTTAATGTAATCGTTGGTTTTTACGATAAAAAAAACCCTCAACAGACCTACCTTGCTGATAACTGTCCAGAGAACACCTTGTGAACATGGTGGAGTTGTGAGAGAGCCAATGAATCTGTAATACTTCTTGCTTCCATATCTGATCTTTTTTGGATTAATTATACCTAATTCCTTACCCTCATGATCTGCTGTCTTGATATGGCTCAATAACTATGATTGAGAAACAAAAAAAAACACAAAAGTGTGTGCATTAGAGAGGTAATTGTGCCATTTAATTGAATCCCCTACTTGACCAAAATGGGATTATATACTTCTACCTACATGTTCAAGGAAAGGATCAGGGGCTCCAATTTTGTATAAGATTCCGACAGCAGCCAATTCATCATGTGCATTCTTATGAACCAAATGCATCTCCATATCGAAACTGTCAAATACTTTTAGTGTTCGAGTTGCAACATGAAGGTAGAATTTTTATACTGTTATTATTTTTACTTAGCTTATAGATAAAGATATATACCTTTTGCCATTCACAGTGTTTTCGGAGGGAGTGTGCCAATGGGCTTGTTGTAGTTTGTATTCAGTACCATTTATCACAATCTTCCCTGCGTCATCTTCCCACTTTATCTGCAAGATATTCCATATTTCCATGAGAAGCCGAGTAGGCACTAGTCGGCCATCTTTGGGCGCTTAATGTTTTTAGTGCTCGTTTAGCCACCTTTTTTTTTGACTTATTAGTGAAGAAATATGAAACATTTTAGCCATTTTAGTTATAACTTCTACAAAGTTTTTTTAATTGTCTTGTTTTTGCAGTTACAAAATTACTTATTGAAGTTTTATATTCAACATGCTAAAACTTATTACAATATATAGACAATACACATAAATTTTTTGGAACACAATTGACTTTAAAAAAAGTTTTAACAATTTTTATTTTGAAAAACTATTTCAACACAAGCAACTGTCATTGATGTAGTTATGGTTGGACTCGGGTCGGGCCACCCGGCCCGTGGATCGGCCCGACCCGTGGACCGGCCCGACCCGGCCCGCTACTGTGCGGGACCGGGACCGGCCCGGTTCTCGGGTCCGGGTCCGGGTCGGGCCTAGGCCCGAGGGGTAGGGTGGGTCCGGGCTCGGGTCTCAAATTTGGTGAACCGGTCGGGTTGGGCCCGGGCCAAATTGATTTTTTTTTTCATTTTTGGGGTTCCACCCGGGTTGGGTTTGATGGGTTTGGGGGGTTTGGGAGGGTGGGGGTGAGGGGGGGGGGGGTTAGGAAAGCAAAAAAAAAAAAATCCAAACCGGAGGCCCGGCCCGGACCCGGACCGGACCCGGTGGCTACCCGGTCCGGTCCCGGATCCACCATTCCTGAACCACCGGCCCGCCCGGGCCTAGGCCTGACTCGGACCCGGCCCGGACTCGAGTCCACCACTAGATGTAGTTGACCAACACTTATATTGGTGATCTCACTAATGATACTAAAATAATAAAAGTACTCAATACTAACACTTCTTGGTGATGATATTTGGGAACTACGGAGTATATAACATGAGACTAAATCTCAACTGCTCATAGACAGCCCATCTACCTAATTCTACTTGAATCTCATCCTTGATTCTTGACTAAGCTAGACTTGGTTATCAGTGACGGAGCCAGAAAAATGGCTCAGTGGGGTCAAAACCCAATCTATATACTGAATGAAAATGATGGATCATTTTTAAACAATGTACGTGGTGAATATTTCATATGTAGTTTAGATAAATAGATACTCATATCAATAAGATAGATCGTCTTTGCTCTGTTTCTGAGTCATGTCATGTTAGTAACTTAGTATTGAGTGAATTATACCCCATTTTTAAAATTCGGAAAAATAATCTATAGTATGCATCAAATTTTGCAGATTTTACGTTTAGAAAGTGTTGATTTTCTAGAAGTCATTATTTTTTACTCGTAATGAGTTACATGGGTCGTAATATATTAAATCGAAGATATTTAAGAGCTCTATACTCTCAAACTTTCAGTAAGGTCGGATGACCATCCTGACCCCCTTAGCTCCACCCTCGATGATTATTGCTTTACAGAAGCACTAACGTGCATTTTCTTTTGAAAACTCAAAATTAGTGCTTTTAAGTTATTACATCCTTCCCGAATAACTTTGCCAAATTCAAAGTAGGTGAGAAATAGGAAAAATAAAAGTTGTGTGATTGAGGTTTGTGTAGAGAGAGAAATACTAGAACTACAAATTAGTTGCTTTAATAAGAAAGTGACAAAGTTTTTGGGGCAATCAAAAAAGGAAAGTTGGCAAATTCCAATGGCATGGAGGAGTATTATTTATAATGTTTAAGCACTTCAAAATTAAAAGTGGTAACAAATGAATGATTAAATTATTTGTTCGCATTTTCTATAATATTTTAACATGGTAATATAAGGAAAAGACTCATACAAACACTCTGGCTTGAGATTTTAGAATCACTTTTATTTTTAATCAATACCAACAATTACAAATATTTATTTTTCAAACCTCTAATATTAAACATTTCTAAAAAACACAAAGATTCCCCCAAATTTCAAAGCAAGATAGTTATTACCTGAAGAGCATGACCTCTATTAATGATGGAAGCGGGTGCAGGTTTATACTTCCTAATCAATTGGCCAAGGGTGGAGGTAATCTGGACCGTTGAGTCATCAAGATCAATGGGGGACTGAAATTTCCCAGTACTACATTCTGTATATTTTGGATTAAGATTTCCCCATTTTTCTGGGCCATTCTCAGATTTTTTCATGTAACTGAATTTTGCTTCCTCATTGTTATGCTCATGACTAGAGATGGTCTGTGATGAATAAAGGAACAACAATGTTGTGATGAGGATGATGAAGAATGGGTTATTGTCCATTTATGCTATTATATTATTGTAATGTTGTTATTATTATGGCTATGTATGTATATATAATACATGCATGTAAGTTTGTCCTTCAATTTTAAAGTGGCCAAGAGAGACTAAGTATACAATTTCTTTGCTATATATTTGATCCTTCTCAACACCCTCTCTCTAAATGAATCTCTATGTGTAGGGACAATATGCATTCCATGAGTAAACGCAAATGTCTCTAGATATATGTGATTTGTGTGAAACATGTAATGTAAATCAAAGGTTTCTTCAAAGGCTTGCGTTCCTAGTTATTGTTATTATTAAGATTGATTTTATATGGATGGTATAGACAAAACTTAAAATTACAACCTCCTGTTATAATGTGCTCCTACAATAAAGCATAAATTAAACCATACTATGTGATACTTTGATAAACAAAAATCATTTTGAAGACTTAAATCAATCGTTGAATTTAAGATATTATATTACAATTAAAAAAAATTGGCAGCAAAGTGTTTATGTTTGATGTAGCATGCAAGTACTAATGTACTATCATCTACATATTCATCCCTAAAAGTAGCATTTACATCTTCTTTACACATTTTCCAGGTTAACATTACATTCTCAGTTTCATTATTCTTTCAAAATCCTTGTTTGAAATAGAAGATTGTTGTCTTGTTTCCTAAAACTCATGGGCGGATGTAGTCATGTAGGGGTGACCTTCCCAAGGTTGGAGCCCACCCAAATCTTTAAAAATTTCAAAATTAATATTATAACTTTAGTATACTAAATGACTACCTGTGTTTTACATGAATAATTATATGTATCAAGCGAAAAAAAGATAAATGAGACAATCATATTCAGTTGAGCACAAACGTCAATTGTGGTCAAAAGAGACCAAAGATAGGTCAAAAGTTGAAATAAATCAAAACTTGGCAATTTTATGTCATTCACGATGACCAAAAGATGAGGAACAAATGAAACGTTTACGTGAAGCACAACTTCGATGTTGGGTTTTGATCATCTAAAGAGACAAAATTTGCTAAAAAATCCCAGACACGAACCGGCGCCAGACCCACCCCAACTTCGGCATCGGAGATGCAAAAATTTCACATTTATATTGTCGAAATTAAGTTGGCCTAGGAGCTGGAATTATCCCATAATCGGAGTCGAAGTTTGGAAATCTGTAGAAAAATAGCACAACGTGCAAGATATTTTTCAGCTGAAATGTAGAGATTTGGAGGGTATGCCTTGGAAATTCCACCCCAAACTGAACTAGGATCTTGAATAGACTATCAAAGATCATTTCCAAACCTATTAACCCCTCTAGTCCATCCCAATCAACCCATTCAATTCACTAGTGAGTTTGTAGCTTCATAATTGTTTTTTTTCATTTATGGCATTCTTGAGGTGTGATAACTCATTCATTTATGTAATATTTTCTTTGTAATTTTATATTTTTCTACATCTAAAACATTGTAATCTTGATTAATATTTGTGTTGGAGGCCAAGTCTCTCATCCAAGGCTCAAGATGAACCTATATGCCTACTACTTTTTATATCTAAACCAATACATCACGATTTATTCTTCTTAAACTTAATTATCTATATGTTATGTATGCATCATAAGAGTATAATCTATGTATTGATATGAACTAACTCAAGTTGAAATATCAATTGAATACTAAAAGAGTCTTTCACATTTGACTCTCCTTGGAACTAAATCTATACCCAACCATATTGCATACACTACTAGATTTTTTTGTAGTTGCTGCTCCCCATTAATTGCGGTTGTAAAAAACAAACGCATCAATTAACATATATTTTTAAGTATTTGTTGCGGTCAAGAGGGAACCACAACAAATAAGTACGTAACATTTAGAGGTTTAATATGATAAATGAAAGTTGCAATTAGATCGTTCTATAGAAAAATAAACATATAAAATGTTGAAGATAGAAACATATTTGATCTTGTATGATACGTGTGTGATAACATATTAATCAATAAGAGTTTTCTCTAAATGAATGTGAGTCGTTAAGGGACTTCTGTGAAGCTATATCGGAATCCCGACAACCTTCGTACATGATTGCTCCATTGCGATTTTTCTGAAGTATTGATCCTTATTGCACCCGAAGCTATAGTCTCCACCAATAGTATCTCATCCTCGTATCCATCTCCATTCTACCATAGACTTGAGTTAACTTCTCGATCTCATTCCGCCCACGAGGATAATCCATCATTGACGTTACGCGAAAGAACCTGCCTTAGCCGACAATCTGAAGCCTTCACGAAAACGATGCCATCCTCTGAGCTGTTGTTGTGCGAACCAACGAATATAAACTAACACACCCACTACGTTATGCTAGCGTTAGAGCAAACTATTTGACTGACCTTCTACCGATGCCGCAGGAAAAATCTACTCAAGCCTAGGATAAAACTCTAGGCGCCATCCGCTTACATAATTAAATGAATTACACCATCAATATTATGTCTCCGTGTTATTATTATTTACATGCAATATTGTATATTTTAAAATATTTATAAATAAATAATAAATTCATGTAAAGAATATTTCAAATTAAATGAATTTATTTAATTAGAGTAAAAACAAGCCAATAAATTCGTTTAAACATATTGGTTTTAGTTCATTCATCATTTAATAATAAATGATTCACTTAAAGAAAGAATTCTTCTAATTAATAAAATAGGAAAAAAATGAAAACAAAATATAATAAAAATTATAAAACACATTGCCCCCATGCAGGATCGAACTACAGACCTCCAGTTTACAAGACTGGCGCTCTACCACTGAGCTATAGGGGCGTGATGTCCCATTTTTCGTGATAGTTATATTTATTCGTTTAGTAATATGCAATTGCGCGGCTTATATTATGATACGAGGAACATGGAGGGAGAGTTTCGCAAATATGGAAAGAAACATAATTATTAATTGGAAAAAATAATTAAAATACTCCAAATTATGAAGGAATGTGAGATAAACACATCAAACTTGCATATATATATTTAAATACTCCAAATTTTATATAAAATGTTATTTTAACATTATGATCATATATCATACTTCCCCCGTCTCTTTTTAGTTGCAACAGTCAACATTTCACGTTTGCCAACGCACAACTTTGACCGTCATTATATTTAATTCTGTATTAGTAAAAATAAAATAAAAATCAGATTATAAAACTTAGTAATGAGACAAATTTAACAACATTTTTCAAAAAAATTAATTCACATACATTAATAAATAAAATGTAATCAAAGTAAAGTACATGAATAGTGTATATATTCCAATGTATATATTAATGAGATACGGAGGATAGTATCTTCTAAAAATGTAAATTTATGATGTTAATTACATAATTTAAAATATCAAATTGAAAACTTTGCAATTATATAGAGTTAGGGGTAATACTGTTTATTTTACAATGAAAATAAAAATGTTAATTGTATCTTCATGAATGCTAGCTAAAATATTTTAAATTAAGAAATTAACATAAAAAAATGAGATTTTTTTTTTTAAAAATACATGACTAGGATGCTAAAATAACTATTTATATATTCCATATGTTCCAATTTGATTTGCAAAATTTCCTATTTTGATTGTCCCAAAATGGTTTTTTCACTTTCTAATTTAGGTATGTAAATAAGAATGAAGTGACAAATGTACCTTTACTTTTACTTTTTTTAACATTAACTTAAAGACATCTACTTTTATAAAGACGGACAAAAGTGTAAAAAAGAAGTATCATTTATTATTATTTCTTAATTCTTATATCGATCAAAATTTGCAATTCAATTCGGGACGAAAAGAGTAAAATTTAGAGTATTTAAATAACATTTGCAAGTTTGAGGCTTCTTCAAAATTTGGAATATTTTAATTAGTTTTCCCTTATTAATTACTAGTCCTGTGCGTTAATAAAACGAAACCCTAGTAACTTTATCGAAATCTCTGTTATTGTCTTCCCGATTGTGAAGACGAAGCTGTACAGCCCAATCTTCACCTTAGCACACACAGCAACTATGGCGGCGAAGTTCGATCTGACACCGCGGATAGCGCCGCAGCTCGACCGCCACCTGGTATTCCCCATGCTTGAGTTCCTTCAAGAGCGGCAATTCTACCCGGATGAGGACATTCTAAAGACCAAAATTGAGCTTCTCAAAGATACCAACATGGTTGATTATTCTATGGACATATTCAAGTCCCTCTATCACACCGAAGATGTTCCTCAAGGCATTCACTATACTTCTTCTATCTGCATACATTGGTTTGCTTTGGAATTTTTGCCACTAGCGGAATCAGATTTTTTGTTTTGTTACCGTGTTTGTGCGAAGTTTACATCTTTCTTTTCTATGTGTGGATCTGCTTTCTGTATGGTGCTATTTAGCCACAGAGCAAGGTTCTGATGGTTATTATATGGAATTCCCTATTTACAGTATGTGTGCGCTATTGTATCTACATTTTTACCCTACACCCGGAGTACATGTATTGATGATACTGTCGTTTTTTCACTGCCTTCTTTCTATACGGCATCCCTTTGACCAGATTTCTCTTTGTGTTATGATGTTTGTGGTAAAGTTTTCATCTTTTTTTTATAAGTGACTTCTCTTTTCCATGATTTACCCACACACACATTTTTAAAAGCTATTCAAATCCATTCAAGCTTAGGCCAGGGGCTCTCTTAATAGTTTTATGTATTTGTATGTTCTACAGTACCCAACTACTTCCCTTCCTTTTGTACTCGAATTCTTTCCTCTACACTCAGTTTTTTGGTTTATGGTGTTCTGTTTCTGGTTACAATATATATTTTTTCTTCTTTGTTATTTTTGCATTTCTTTGTTGTTATTCTGAAAAACTAGATCCACCATTAAGAATATCAATGAAGTCCATTTTTTGGCGGTGTTAATTAGTAAATTTTGTATCTTTAGTTGTCTTGATCCTTAACATGCGTCTGGTTTCCTATTTTCCTTTTAAATCCATGATTCAAATATTCAATAATTCTGAAGTACATATGAAGGCTTCAATAACACTGTACCTTCTATTATGTGTATTATATTTTGCAGTAAACAAGTTGCCTCATGTTTCTGATATTACTAATGTATCTGACTTAGTAAAGTGTGGTTTTGTATATAAAGCTGATCTTTAGAATGATTAAATGTGTACTATTTTCTAATCTTATCATAGTATGTATGCTTATTTGTTGATTTTATATTCAGAAATGGTGAATCGAAGAGTTGAGGTTGTTGCAAGGTTGAAAGCACTAGAGGAGAGTGCAGCTCCCTTGGTCGACTTTTTGCAGAATGCAAATGCAGTTCAAGAGTTAAGAGCTGACAAACAGCACAATCTTCAATTACTTAATGATCGTTATCAGGTATGTATGGTTCATAATAGCTCACTTTATTTGAAATAACAATGACATAACCTTCAATCACTGAATACGAGGTTTATGACTAGTCTAATACTCTAATGTATCTAATGCAGCATGCTAGATTTCAGATTCTCACATTTGAAACAGTTCAACATTAAATGTAAAATATGTTTAACACTCATTTAGACAGGAGGCATTGATAGGCTTGTAATTCATATATTTGAATGAAGAATCTCTTTATTTCGTTTCACAATTGATTTGTGCGGTTCTTCCTCAGATCGGCTCAGAGCAAATTGAGGCATTGTATCAATATGCCAAATTTCAGTTTGAGTGTGGAAACTATTCCGGTGCTGCTGATTATCTGTATCAATACCGTGCTCTCTGCACAAACAGTGACAGAATTCTGAGTGCATCATGGGGAAAGCTAGCAGCTGAGATATTAATGCAGAATTGGGATATTGCCCTAGAGGAACTGAATCGCCTGAAGGACATTATTGACTCCAAGGCAATTTCTTGTTCTATCATTAGTTTCTTTACAAAAATTGCATAGATGTTTCATTTTCCACCTGGGTTAGTCTGCTAGCAGAAAAGTTAGGCTAACTGGGGTTTTCAAACTTTGATGTCTTTGCAGAGTTTCTCAACACCATTGCATCAAGTTCAAGGCAGAATTTGGTTAATGCATTGGAGTCTGTTCATCTTCTTCAACCATGACAATGGAAGGTCCCTGATCATTGACCTGTTTAATCAAGACAAGTAAGGATGCTTTGTTTATTTAGTCCCTTTTAAGTCACTTGGGTTGTTTTTATTGTTTCTTGCTTCTCATTCATCTTATATGCACTCACACACATGCTTTGCCTTTACCTTGTAATGTTAATGTGCTTCATTTTATTGTCTCTCAGAATTACCGATTTTGGTAAAGAAAGTTGGTCAAATTTTCTCTCTCTATATTTGTGAAGATTTCATTTGGCTTAAGTACATATATAATAGTTAGACTGGTTGATTCTAGGTACTTGAATGCCATCCAAACCAATGCACCCCATCTATTGCGCTATCTGGCTACAGCATTCATTGTTAACAAACGAAGAAGACCTCAGTTTAAAGATTTTATTAAGGTTATTCAACCAGACCAGTACTCTTATGCTGACCCCATTACTGAGTTTTTGGCCTGTGTTTATGTCAACTATGACTTCGATGCTGCACAACAAAAGATGAAAGAGTGTGAAGAGGTAAAATCCATTCCTTTAAAGTGGTTTCATAATTGATTCTTTCTTTGGTATCTTGAGTATATATGTATTTTCCTTCATGGATTGGTATCTTAATAGATTTTAATGACCTCTGATTGTTTTATGTGTAGGTAATATTGAACGACCCGTTCCTCGGAAAACGTGTTGAAGAGGGCAATTTTTCAACTGTGCCATTGAGGGATGAATTTCTTGAGAATGCTCGTCTTTTTATCTTTGAGACTTACTGCCGTATTCATCAACGCATCGATATGGGGTTTGTACCGAGTGCTTGACATCTTTTCTCAATGACAAATTTATTTAAATTCTCCATCTATCTCCACCTAATGTTCCTTCTATTGAATCCAGTAAATGAGTTCCGTTCTCTTAACCCAAACATTATACGATAGTACAAACTAATACAAATTACATCTTCCCCAAAAAGTCATGTTTCAAGGTTCTCTCCAAAAAGAATTACAATTTACAACTGCTCACCCCCAGATTTGCTTGACTAAAATAGTATTATTAAGTCTACCTAACTCAATCAGCTTCCACATTGATTGTTGACTAAATAAGGACCTAATTTTAACATGTTTAATTTATTTTTGGTTTTACTTAGAAATAAAGTGCTCTTTCCATGCTAATATTTTGTGAGGCCATTAACTTGGGCAGGGTTCTCGCTGAGAAACTAAATTTGAATTATGATGATGCTGAGAGATGGATCGTGAGTCTTATCAGGACATCCAAGCTTGATGCCAAGATCGATTCCTTGACTGGAACCGTAATAATGGAACCTACCCAACCCAACGTGTAAGTTTGACTGAAAAAATAGTGATTCATCAACAGTTCATCAATTGTTTATAAAGATTGATTTATCCTTTTTAATCGTGCACAGGTATGAGCAGCTAATTGACCATACCAAATCTCTTTCCGGGCGGACATACAAATTAGTCAGTCAGCTTCTTGAGCATGCCCAGACTCAAACACAGGCTGCTCGATAGTCCTATTGCTGAATCTTAAGTGTTGATTGGCATTTGGTTTCTGAAGTGCTTTGTTTTGGTGAAGTTTCTGAGTTTGGTGTTCGATCTTTAGCCAATCTTCTCAAGAATTCAAAATCTCGAGGTTTAATGATTTTAGTGAGATATTGACTCCTTTAAATTAGTTCTGATAAATTTGGCGGTCTGTAAAATGTTAAAACAATTTTGGGTGCTTTAAGTCGACCCTTGATTATTCATGAACAACATGACTTTATTGGAATCATTGATGAGTTGTCTTAAAGAATTGGTTAAAATGCACTAGCTGCCTAGATTTGTAGTGACAAGACAATCTCTCTTAACATAGGTTGCATTGCATCCTGCAGCTATGTTTGCACACCATGCACGTATATGGGAATACGGTATATGGGAAGAAACTATAGGTGTCAATATACAAAATTTTCGCAAATATTAATGTAGAGGTATTATTGGTATTAATCTGTTAGGGTTTGACTCTTTATATTCACATTTGTGCACTTTAAAAAGTTAAAGCTGACATCAACTTGGATCAGCTCGTGAATTGGAGTTGAAATTTTTGGTGTTGAAATGTGTCTAGGCCTCTAGGGGTGGTGTACCCGGCCATGAATTGGATGAAGTTTTAAAGATTGTATGAATTTGAATAGAGTTCAAAATATTCTATAAGATTTAAGTAGAATCATTTGGATTGCAATAGATATTTCTAAAACAAAATATCTTTATTTGAATAAATAATGATATACCATTCAAGCAATTCATCTAGTCTTTTTTCAAGAGTGGCTCCATGTCTTTGCAATTCAATTATTGGGAGTCTTTCTAAACCTTCCTATTACACACTAACGCCATCCATTCTTGGCCAACCAACCCCTTTTCTGTAATACATAGTTACTCCTTGCCTGGTTGGAACTTGAGTATCTACGCACACATATTTTACATATATATATTCTTCCATTTTTGATACAACTCCCAATCTTCCTCTATTAGCGACTCTTTATTGGTTTGGATTGTCACATTTGTTGTACTGTATAGGGATGGATTCGGTTCGGGCCACTCGGCCCGTGACCCGGCCCGGCCCGGTACTGTGCGGGCTCGGGACCGGCCCGGTCAGGCGGTCCGGGACCGGGTCTGGGCCCGAACCGGGGGGAAGGGGTGGGGCGGGCTCGGTTCATCATTTTTGTGACCCGGCCTGGGTCCGGGTCTATTTTAAAAAAAAAAAAACTTTTTTTTTTGATTTTTGGCTACTAGCCGTTGAGGCCTTGGGGGTGGGGCTGGGGACAACCCAAACGGCTATATAGCCGTTGGGTGGGGTAAAGGGGGGGTCCGGGGGGGTTGGCTGGTAGGAGGTGGGGGTGGGGGGGGTGGTAAAAAAACCTATAAATTCTCCTACTCTTAAACATTTTTTCATCTCTTCTCCAATTCTTCCTAAATCCTATTCTTAACTCTCTACTCTCTAATTCTCTTATTCTCCAATATATTATATATCTACTCTCTAATTCTCTTCTCCAAGAAGTTAAGATGGAAAATCAAAATGCCATTATACAGTATAATTTTGATAAGCAGAAGGACCCGAAGACCGGGATGTGGTACGCAATTTGTAAATGGTGCGAAAAAAAATGTATTATGGGGGCTTCAGGCGGATTCGGGATGGCAATCAAGCATATGAAGTCATGTGACAAAGCCAAAGGATCGGGAGGTGCGGGAAGTTCCGATTGATTACAATTTTCAAAATGTTTATCTGTTAAAGTTTGTTTTAATTTTCAAATGTAGTTCCTATTTCATTTCAAATAAATGCAATTGAAGTTTGTTTTTAATACTCGTATCAAACTATAAACTATAAAATATAAAATATAAATTATATATAAAAAAAATTAACCGGCCCGGCCCGAACCGGACCCGACCCGTGACCCGGGCGGGTGGCCCGACCCGAACCGGACCCGTCCAACTCTCGGGCCGGTCCCGGGCCCACTGTTCTTGAACCGGCGGCCCGACCCGGCCCGAATCCATCACTGGTACTGTAGTTGACAGTTAAGATTAGAAGTATTTATAGGTTTTTTTACCCCCCACCACCCCCCACCACCCAACCCCCCCGGACCCCCCCTTTACCCCACCCAACGGCTATATAGCCGTTTGGGTTGTCCCCAGCCCCACCCCCAACGGCTAGTAGGAGCCCAAACCATTTTTTTTTTAAAAATTGAACCGGACCCGGGCCCGGGCCCGACCCGGCCAGGCCGGGTCACAATAATGCTGAACCGAGCCCGCCCCGCCCCTTCCCACCGGTTCGGGCCCATACCCGGTCCCGGACCGCCCGACCGGGCCGGTCCCGGGCCCGCACAGTACCGGGCCGGGCCGGGTCACGGGCCGGGTGGCCCGAACCGAATCCATCCCTAGTCAAGGTGAATGTGCCAGGGTTTCTGGTGTTATAGCCTAGAGAAGTTGAGAGGCAGTGGCGAAACCAGAAATATATGGTTAAGGGATCTGAGCTTTGAGAATTTTATATTGTCGAGGTCAAAATTTAAAATATCAATATATTTTCTCCAGATTCAAAGTATTTATATATAATATATACTTAAAATATTTTTCTTGCAGGGGCCAAGGCCCCCTCCTACCCTTCTCTGTCTCCACCCCTATTGCGAGGGACGAAGAAAGAAAGGGGGAGCACGGGAGAGGAGTCGCATGCTTTTCATGTTAGGTTTTTGAAACTCGATGTCAGTAAGATTCTAGATGGAAAGTTTTGTTGGTATAATTTCATTAGAGTCCTTTAAAATCCACTAAAATAAATAATAATCGAAATCTAGGTAATGTTTGAAGGCATCCGCATTTGGATAGGCTTAGTGGAAATTCAAACTGGGAATACTCATTTTGTAATGGAATTCTAAATTCCATAAGAATCCGCTGTGGATAACCCTCAAGTCCAGGGAATCAGGCATTGGAACTTTCATTTAATAACTTGATGTTGTAGGACTGGAATGGAATTTTCTTCTTCACAAATTTCAAATTTTATGATTGATTTTTTCCATTCTCACCCTAAAACTGTTAATAAAAGATGTAATTGAATTTTTCCATCGGTGTCACTCACTGTTATCTTCTTGAAATTAGTCACGGGTGAACAAAAAGTAGCATCAATTTTTCTGAAGGACCTTCAAAGGTAATAAAAATAAAAGATACATAGTACATAGTAGTAAATATAAGTAAGGAAAAATGAACAACAATAATCTCAACTATTTGTTATCTGCTTTAAATTCTCTCAATCTCCGGAATCCCAAACCCCCTGCCTCCTTCGGCCTACACATACCCTTCCAGTTTCTCCATCTCAACCCTTTTTTATTCAACTTGGATCCCCTCCACCAAAAGTCATTCATCAATTTTTCAATTTCATCACACAGCTCTTTAGGCAACAAGAAAACATTCATGGCATAACTAGGCCTGAATAACATTCTTTAATAAGACCGCTCTACAAGCTCTCGACAAGAACCTATTATTCCGCTCGCCGGTGACACGTCTCCGGGTAGGCGTAGTAGCATGTTAACCGCCATTCAAAATTGCCCGTCAACGAACTCACTTTGCAGTCCAAGAAGTTCGGATTTTCTTCCATGACCACCATGTGCACTTCATCATTCCAACCGAGAACCAATCCTTCACTTCTTCAATCACTATCTGTCCCCACTGTATTTGTGAACCCTTTCGCTTGAATAACCTCTTTAGCACGTTGACACCTCAATTTAGTCTCCATCAAAAACACAATCATCGGCCGGTGCCGGTGCTGATGGATAATATCCGACAACCCTTGAACAGTGGCCGGATTACCAAAGCCTCTACAATTCCAACTCAAGATATTCATGAAGTAAACCCTTAGAAACTGAATTCTTAGGCAAATTACAAAGGCGAAATTGACACTAATAATCTGTACTTTTACATATATTACAAAAATAATCCCTACTCATAAATTTCACAAAAATAATCCCTGCTAGTTACTTGTTTCACAAAAATAATCCGATTTTAATGGTGTTAACTTTTCCGTTATTTTTTTTTAAGTTTTGAATATATCAAACAAAAAATATGTATACAAATTAATAATATTATATTAGAGTTTAATCTTTTCCTACGATAAACTAATATATTTGAGTTTAATTCAATATTCTACATGATTGTATTAATATTTAATGTATTATTACTAAAACTACTTCGGAATCTCTATTATAACGAATAACAAAAATAAATCTTAATAAAATAGGGATAGAGAATGAAAGAGTAGAGAATTTGAAGAGTATTATGTTTTATGAAAAACATTTCTATTATGTTTTATGAAAATATTGAATACTAAATTATTACTCCGTATTTTTAGTAGAAACAAGATTAAACTCAAATATAGTAGTGTCATATATATATTTTCGATTCAATATATTTAAAATAAAAAAATAACGGAAAACTTAACGCCATATGCACTTGGTTTATTTTTGTGAAACGAATAAATAATAGGAATTATTTTTGTGAACTTTTCAAATATGGATTATTTTTGTAAAATGTGTAAAAGTGGAGATTACAAACTACCCATCTCCCCAAGATCGGAAATTGTCAAGACTGCACAAAAACCTCGCATAAAGTCGCACAAGCCAAAGCGAGGTCAACACATACTACCCGCAGCAGAAACTGAAGAACTAGCGCTAGGGCGGCTAGGCACGAACAAGTCCGCCGGAAAAAACTCCTAGGCTTGCCCTAGACGATGACCGCTTTTACCACAGAGGTGGATTTCTTTTTGGTGTATGACAGAGAATCGCGAGAAGCAGAGCTGCAGAAGGGCCAAGGGTCAGATTATGAGGTTGCCAAACAGTGACCGTACGGCCTCCGGCATGCGAGCGGCGGAGCGTGCGGCCGTCCCTGCGGCGCCCGGCTATGTGCGAAGGGTTTCCAGCTTTTGATTACATATGTGGTAGCACTTTTGCAGAGCACAATTTTAGAAGGTGTAGGATGTATTTGGTTCAATCGTTCAGAGGCTATCAGAGCAGGTGTTACCTTAAATTTATTCGTTTAGCTTTACAGGTTTTGTTCATCTTTGCTTCTCTTGTGTAATCTACATTCACTTTTTCGCTTATCTTCTCTCTTTTTAGAAAATTTGGGTTTGTCCATTGGCTGAAATTGGTTCTCAGGTTAGACTTTTGTGATTTAAAAAAAATCTAACCAAAATCATACAAGAATTTTCAATGGGTTCCCTTATGTTGTAGTTTACATCAAAAGAGGTATGAAGTTTGTTTGGTGGGTTGATAATGTTAATACCATATTAATAATTTTTAAAATCATTGCAGGAATTGCATGAGCCACATTGAATAGACATGCTATTGTTAGTTTTGGAGGGAATTACATAAGAAATTCCAGTATTCATAGGCTCATCCACTCAGATGCTGTTAGACACCAAGTTTGTTAAAAATATGTAAACCATTGGCTTTGAGTCCACTGTTGCAAATATTGCAAATACTGATACATGTTATGCACTATTTTGAGGCTTTTACACACTTTTCTGCGCAGTAACTTTTATTACAATTCTATTCCTTCTACATAATAGCGGTACACTTCTCCAAATTTGTTTTAATTTCCTGCTCATTTGACTATTCACCAGCCCCCTTCATCTAACATAATATGGACAGTTCTTTTTCACACTCTATCCACCTCACTGTCCTTCAAACCCTTTCTAACTACTCTCCATCAGCTGTTTTAAGCAACGCCCAAGAACATATAAACTCGGGATAGTTTCTCCTTCATCTTACCCCTGGCTAGGAACACATATTCTTAATAGGTATAGGTATATTGTATTATGGATAGATTAGTTTTTTTATCTAAACTTATTTGGTTAATTTTAATATAATTCAAGCAATTTATAAATCATCATAATTGTTATTATATCTCCTCAAAATTGATAACTTTGCAATAAATTATTCTCTATCCAGCATGCAATTGTTGTTCTTTAATTTACAGTTTTGGTCTTCCTTTTCTGCTATGGGTTGATTTTCTGTTCATTTCTGACTAGAGTTATGATTTTTTTAATAATACATTAGTTTTTAGTTTTCATTGCCTTAATTGGCAATTATTTTGCATCTTAAATCTATTTTTGCTGAATAGAGACTGAACAATAGGAATACATTTTGACTTGCTGGGCTACCACTTCAGTATAAAGGGGTAGTAAATACTAAGTACAGCAAAAAAATTAGGACATTACCATCATTTGTGTTCTTTTAATGAAATTCAAACAAATAGGCAGAGTGTGAAATTATTTCAAATTGCTGATTAAAGAAACAAACAAACAAATAGATCGTATAGTGCAATAACATAGAGTGACTGAATAGGTTGAATTGAAACCAAAATGAAAAGATTTTGAAAAAAACAAAAGAAAGTGCTTTTTGGCAAACTAAATCAACATATTTGAAGGGGAATGATACCCTTTATCTTTCACTCAAAAGGATTTTATGTTGTCAATCAGAAACCTAATTTGACAAAGATTCTAGGCGGAATTATGATAGCGCCGAAACTTTATTATATAACAAACAATAATATGCTATCCTAATTTTTGAGTTGGGGATCTGGCGTTCCAAAATGAAACTGGTCAGATTTCCATTGATTTAGGATGAACCATGAGTCTCACATAGTGACATACTTATATCAGCCCGACAGCACGTAAGGGCGTAATGAGAGCTGAATCTGACGTCCCATTTTAACAACGGCTCCCAGTTTCTGGTGAACACCTTAACCAAATGATGATTCAAAAAATGAGATAAATTTAATCACATATAAAATGTGTTGTAACAGCTATGGTGAAAGCTCTTAATATTCAACCAAAAGCTAAAAAAACACATGCCTTATGATGTGAAGAAAATACTCTTCTATAAGCATAGTGAAAAGGGCACATGATACATTAAAATTACAGCAGGACATACGAAAAAACAAAAGGAGTACAGACTGTTTTTTAATATTCAATAGTCCATTCTTTGTCTCAATCTGGGATTTGGGGTTTCATGTGCTTGACAATCCATTCAATGTCCTAATATGCTTAAACCTCCCCTAATACCTTTCTTGAGCGAATAGAAAAAATAAATGAAGGACTACAGACTGTTTTTTAATATGAAAGTATGAAAAATCCAGCTACTTGTTCTTTTATGTATAATAATCAAATTTGATAATTTGAAACCAAACTGAAAAGTCCAACCATTTCCAGAATATCAAAGTATAAAAACTCCAGCTTCTTACCATCCATATTTTTTATGTTGACAGCTTCTTCATTCGTTTCAGTTTGTTTAATCTGAAGCACAAGAAACAGTAAAAAAAGTAATAGTAAAAAGCCAAAAATGTTTGTGCAACAGTCATGGGGGGAAATGAAGCAATTATGAGCCTGAGCTGCCCAATTTTCTACTCTATTCCCTCAAAACCCAACCCCACAAAAGACATTAGAAATTAGATGCCAGGTAAACCAAATCTTTTACTTACCCTAACAATTGAATCGGAAATTAAGTAATTTGATTGAATAGGAATTGAAGTTATAGATCAAAATCTAACCTCATATCATTGAAGTATGAAGGATGCCACTTAGCACCTTGCAGAACCGACCGACGCTTACTCGATCTATCAGTTGGTGCAAAGCTCGATCGTCAGGAAGTGAACCCTAACAATTGAATCGGAACTATCGTATAGGCTTCATACACGACGGTTTGCAATCGCATGAGAAATGGATGAGAAGACAGAGATGGATGAAGAAGGAAATGGCAAAGGAGAAATCGGGTGAAGAGAAGAAACGGTAAATGAAATTAGTTTGGTGTGCCAGCGGGTAAGGGAGGAATGGAGCGAAGAAGAAAAGGTGATGATTGATGGGAGCGGACGATTGAGATTAGTTTGGTGTGCGAGCAGGAATACCGTTCATTGAACAGTAATCTTTTGTTCATTGAGCAGTAAAAAAATGTATTATGTTAACAAATTAGTGATACAACCATTCTTGTTGTACACACCCTTGTACACACCTTGTACACACCATGTTTGTGAAGCTTTTTTTTTGTCTGTGAATCCGGTTCACAGACAATATTTTGTTTGTGCAAAACATTGTCTGTGAACAAGTTCACAGACAAAAAAAAAAGCTTTCACAGACAACGGTGTGTACAAAAGTGTGTACAAAAGTGTGTACAAACATCATTTTTCTTAGTGATATCCCCCCTTAAGGTTCCTTTGAATTTGACTGAACTCTGGGTTCTAGTGCAACCGCTAGGCGTACTGGGATTTATTTGGGGGAGTTTGTTAAATGGGATGAGAATCAGTTTGAGGATAAGTGGGAGGCCTATATGCGTACTAGGATTTGTATGGGTGTAGGCAAACCCTTAAAGGCTGGTACAACAATTAAGGAAGGAAAGTCAAGTATGAAAAGCTGCTTAGTTTCTGCTTTGTGTGTGAAGTTATTGGTCATGCAAAGAAATTCTGCCCCTTGGTATACGAGAAAGGAGAAAAAACTCTGGCTAAACCCTTTGGACCATGGCTTAGAGCGGGGGAGGGAAACATCAACCCTCTCTGGGAAACAAATGGTTGGTTCAAGAGGAGGCAGCAGTCGCAGGGTTAAGCACACCGCATTCTCGACTCAGGAAAGATCAGGAGTTTATCCAATATAGCCAGATGGAGGAGGAGCCTCGGCGATGCATGGTTGGTAGCTCTTACCGAAGCTGGAGAGAATCATGGATTTTAAGCTCCGAGTGTGGATTGGGAGGTCAGAAAGGGAGGCGCACGTGGAGGAGCAGGAGAGGACATACCTAGTGACTAAAGAAATGGCCCTTGACGACCATAAAAACAGGGTGTAGGCGGGTGCTGGGTTCCAGACCTGCCCGTATTTGTGAAGATCAAGCTGCTCGTGATTGTTAGAAGACAGTCCTATTTATTTTATTCTGTTTTTATTTTATGCTTTTGTTTCGAACTGGTTGTTGTTTTAGTTGTGTTTTTATTTCCTAGTAACATAACTCTAGAATTTAAGTTGCGTGATGAGAAGTTTTGATACGTCCGTCATTAGCTCAGTTAAACCCATTATAGGATCATCGAGCCATATTTCTTTTGCGGAGATGATAGGTTCTAAGTCTATTTCGATGGTAGACGATCGAAAGAGGTTTTTTTTGTCTTTTTGTGACTTACTTAAGTTCTGATTATTCAATATAAGTCACCTTCAATAAAAAAAAATCTTTATGGGGTGTCCTATTAAAATTTTCACAATATTTAAGGAGAAAATAATACCTAGGGTCAATATAGAGTGTGGTAAATTTTATGTTTAAATGAATAATTTGGAAAGAGAGTACGTGTAATTAAGAAATTAAGAAATAAAGTTAAGTGAGTGTAGCTAATTATTAAAGAATGAAGAGAGTAAAATCTTCGGGCCTGTTTACTAACAGAGATAATTTCCAGATTTTTAGAAAACTTTAAAAAGGAAAACAGAAAATGTGTTTACCAAAGAAAAGTACTGGAAAACCGGAGAAAAGAAAACAAAAAATTGTGTTTACCAAATCGTTTTCAAAAATGGAAAAATTAGATATGTCTCTCTTTTCTTTAATAAATTGGAGACGCGACTTTTACTAGTTTTTCAAATTTGGAAAACGCGGATGCTGGAGAACTGCTGCAATGAATTTGCATACTTACACCTAGTGGTGCATCCGCTCCCGCTCCGGTGTCAGTTCTAGTCCGGCCCATGACCCGACGATCCCAGCGTTCACTGTTAGTCCGATCGATGACCCAACGGTTCTTATCCGGTCCGATTCATGACTAAGCGGTCCCGGGCCAGTCCCGTCAGTGACTCGACGATCCCTATCAGGGATTCCAAAAAGTGAGAGTACCCAAATTGAACCACATTTACAGCAATTCGTAAAATTGAGGGGTGACATTTACAATTCCATAAATACAAGTCTGACATTTCAACATGATGACTATTTCAGGGACTAAAAATACGATTTTCCTTTTTTAATTTATTACTTATTCTTATTTTAATCAAATCAGATCATAAATATTTAGACCAAATCCGGAATGTTCATATTAAATCCAAACTAAGAAATTCATTATTATTAATATTGGTGTTGTTGTTGTGGTGGTTGTTATTGTTATATATTGATGTTGTTTTTATAGTTATCATTGTAAATTTTTGTTTTGGGGGGAGGGGGATAAAAATTGTAGTTGTTATTATGATAGGGGTAGTTAAATTGATGTCGCCTAATATTATTTTAAAATTTTCACTATATATATTATCTTAAAACTTAAAAGCATGTACTATTAATTAGTGAAATAAGATGACCAGGCCGACAATCAATTCCATGTATTGGTGACATATCTTAGAGTGGTAATGTCAGTACCTACAGAGTTATTGTTTGTCTGGTTCAATCCATTTCAACCTCGAAGGACCATAAGATTACTATTTGTTATTGGAGTATGTCACAACTCACAACATTTTCTTATAATTACAAACTTGTAATGTGTATGGCAACAATGGTAAAAACAAAAATAATATGTCTTGATTTTAATAATATTAAAATAATAACCAGCATTAAAGATATATATTTAGATCTGATCTAAAGGATTTAGTTCAGATAAGAAACGTTCAGATTCGAAAGATTTTGATGAAATAATATAAGTAAAATTGAGATTAGAAAGATTTAACTAATATCATATCATATCAAAAACATTAGAGAACATTGTAACACATAGGATAGACTCAGTTTCTCTATTTTCCTCTAAAGATAGCATATTGTGTATCTTGATTTCTTCCATTCGTTCAATCTAAAATAGGACGATCAAGATAACACACATGGTGTACTCAAGCCATTCTATTTCCTAAATAACACTTGTGTTTCATCAAAATAATTATGCATATGTATAGATTTGATAGGAGATTATATATAATTAAGGAACAATCATCAGTTTTGTTCCTATCAAACATACTATGTCACATAATACAATTCCATGCCTCAACCACTCCGCAAAATGTCAAGAATTGAGAGTATATTTCTACTCAATAATTTTCTTACTTGATTTGGTTGACTATTTCCTCAAACCGATTCGAGAAGCAAAATTTATACACTTTATATACCAACCATTATGTAAGGGGTAAAAAAATAGGACTGTCTAACGGAGCACATGAAAATTGGCCCGTTCAATTGTAAACTGAAATCAAAACCCCTCTGATAGCTTGTTCGAAAAGGTTAAAATAGTCGACAAAAGTTTAAGCTCGTGCCCAAATAACAAAGCACATTGTTATAGTTAGACGTGGAAAGTACGGTTTTTTTTTTTTAAGAAAAGTGTGAGCCTTTGTTAGGTTGCAGTGAAGGACCCACAGTTGGTTTAACGGGAAAGATAGTCTAGGATGATCGTATTTCTAATGGTGAATTGAAAGAAGAAGACATTTGTCGAAGAATTTTGACCGCCATTGAGAATGAAGTTGTTGAGAAACACATTATAGTGATACTAAGAAGGTTTTCAGATAGAACTCAAATCCATGATGGTTATTTGTCTAAAAACATTTGAGTTTTGATAATTAAAAGCTACTGGTATAGATGGACTTTAAAATAAATTTTAAACTCTAGGTTTCACATTTAAACTAGAATGATTAAATCGCGTATGTATAAGGGTGTCCGACATTCTTGATTTTAGGTTTCATTGGTATGGTTCAAGTTTGTTTAATATTGAGAAAGGTAAAATCAAAAGTCGAACAGACCAATTCTACTCATTCGACTTCGATTCAGTTGTTTTCGATCAATTTTAGACGATTTGGTTCGGTTCTGTCGGTTTTTCATGATTAATCCTCAAACTGTGAACCAAACCGCATATGATTGGTCATTTGTAATCAATTTCAGTTTTCATGAAATAATAAACAAGTCTCGTGTAAGTACTTAATTCTAAAAAATGTTTCATTTTGAAAGATGTTTTATTATATTGAAATAGAGATCAAATACAATCCATGCTTAATTTACTAACCTACAAACTCAATAATATGCAACACTTTGAACTTCAATATGCAATACAAATAATGTAAAGATGATTTCCATGGAAGGACTAGTTTGTATGTGATCTCACCTCTACATCTTTATATTATTTGTATTGCATATTGAAGTTCAAAGTGTTGCATATTATTCAAACCATAAAATAATAGTTTCATATTTACATTGTTTGTATTGCACATTAAAGTTCAAAGTGTGCATCTTTACATTTTTTTTATTGCATATTGAAGTTCAAAGTTTGTAAGTTAGTAAATTCAGCACTATTTGTATGTGATCTCACCCATTTAATTATATTCTACTTTTAAGAAACTTTATCCCTTTTTTATGTTAATTTGTTAGGAATCACAGGGTATTGGTGTTTCATCTCCGCTTGAAGAAGTCATCCTCCCTGAAGTATAAAGATTGAATAGTCTGGATTGTAAAGACGGGTTGTTGGATTTCATCCACTTTTTTGAATAACTTGTGTTTTTAATCAAGTAATTGCCCTAAATAGGACTAAAACGTGATTAAAATTCCACAATACGACATTAAAATTATTATTCTTTAAATAGGACAAATTACTTTGAAATTACAATATGTGGAATGCCATGTTTTTGGCCCGTTTGACAAATAGATAGTGTCATTTTCATGCAACTCACATTGTGAAGATTTACTGAAAATGCCATAAAGTGTCATTTTATAATTTCATATAAAAATGCTATGTTTTAAATTGAAAATGACATGTTTTTACGACTAAAAATGCCATGTTTTTGTCACTATTTTTTTGATGATGTCAATCTTACCAGAAATTGAGTTTATCAATAATATTACTTCTTGGCATTCTTGATTTTTCTTTTTCTTCTCATATTTCACATTTTTTATTCTAAAATGTCATTTATGTTAACATAATTATGTCATAATTCAATATAAAAATCTCATAATTTTTAATCTGAAAATGTCATGTTTTAGCATCTATAAATGCCATGTTTTTGTCATTGATGTTATCATGATGGCATTTTCACCTGAAATCGATAACATACACTAGAGGAGGTAGCTGCGACAGATAAGATTTTACACTTCCAGGAGAGAATTTAGCGTCGTGGATGACGTCGTAACACTATTCTCATCAGAGGGTGAGGTAAGTCATCTCACATGATTTGTGCGGCGGTGGTCTCACCAGATGTATGCAATGGCGGTCTCACCAGTGGCATCCTCGCTAGGCAGTGGTAGTGACATCCTCGCTGGACAGTGACGACAACCGTCTTGGCGGTGGCGGCTGGCAAAAAGGACTCATAGATCAGAGGAGGTGCATCGAAGCAAATATAAAGATTTTTATTTCATTAAGGGTGATTTTGTCTAATCAGTAATTAAGGGTCCTATTTAAGGAATAATAAACTTAATGTCCTATTTATGCATATCTACTATGTTTTGGGTAATTCTCTCTTTTTAATTCGCACAATTGGCTGCCACTTCGTTATTTTGTAAGGAATCACCTGAGTGTGTTGACTACTTGACTATGGTTTAGACTTGTTCATTTTTAAACTATTGTGCTGATGTGAGTTTGGCCTTTGAATTGGTGTAGGTATGATATCTCAAGCTCGAGCAGCTCAACTCGAGTATATTAATGAGTCGAGCTCACGTGGTAAATAAGTTTAACTAGCCAAGTTCTAGTTTTTTTTTTCAAACGATGAATTTCTACCTTTTGTTTGAAAAATCAAACAAGTAATTTATTAATATCAAATGATAGCAAAGAAACAAACAAATGAATAGTCTAAGGCTACAATGAGATGAGAGTTTGAATGGAAAAGATATCATGAATCCTTCCAGATCGCTAACTCCGCAATAACGTAGTCTAGTATAACAACCTTGCTATACTTGTTACTCCAAATAAAAAAATAAAAAACTACAAGATCCGGCTTCACCAGCCACCAGAAAGGGAGAATTGATTTGACCAACAATCAACAAAGGAATCATCGATTTGACCAGCCACCGAAAAGAAGATTCAGTGGAGCCGAGCTCAAACCAGACTCAAAAGATGTGCTAATCGAGTTCGAATTTGTGATACTCGAACTCGACTTGGCTCGAATAAAAGCACTATGGTTATGTAA